AAAAAATTGTCTACTTCATCCATTCCATATGCAAACAATGTTGACCAGCGACTATGCTCGTGTTACTTATTCAAATTGCACAATGTACACACACTCTCTCTCTCTCTCTCTTTCATATTTTGCACACTGTGTCCAGAACTCAAGATAGGGGCAAATTTTCTTAGTGGAAATATAAAAATAGGGTAGCTATAATAATATTCTTCTGTCTTGACAATTTACGAAAAACAAAAACAGTGGTGAGCAAAGGTGAGCTAGTACGTGAAGTGTGGCGCCGGAAAGAATGACACAGGCTTATGCTGTACAATCATGTACATGTCAGCACTTTGTGTTGCAGTAGCTACACGCTGAGTGACAATCTGTCCTTTGGAAAACTTGGAAGTGAAAGAGCAGTCAGTAAGTTAGTTGCAATTTTACTGGACCAGCCCAGTGAGTTCCTTTCAGGAGTGAAGCAACCTGGCAATATTCTAACCTTGAGTGGCTTTGCTGGTACCAGGTGAGAACTTCTGGCAGCTGTCAGAGAGTTTCATGTTACAAGCGGCATATGTCAAATACCTGGCTCAGTCACATCAAGGCAGCATTGACCATGTGCGGAGTGTCATGCGGGATGCTGGTGGCGGTACCTTCAAACGGGCTGTTCTGAAATGATGGGATTGCAGTTGAACTTCGTACTCAAACACTTGACCAGGTCTGGGTTAGTGAGTCCTCGGCGAGGCAGAGAGGAGGCTGTGACGCGAACACTGATGCAGTCCAGCTTGCCGCAGAGCTGCAAGTCCACGAGGAACTTGTCAAGGCCCGTCGGCCAAATGTGTCGCTGCAGGCTGCGTAGAAGCGATGGGCATGTTCCCGTGTACATCACTTCATTGGTTTCCCCGTCGATCAAATTGTACAGGCCCGGCGTCGACGGTATCGTTCCCTGAATGTCGCTCACCTCGCTAGCTGGAAACTCTAGCAGCTTACCGCAGTAGCGGGCAGCCTCGTACGGCGGAACACGATGCGGCACTGCACGAGTGTGTGTTGGCGCTGACAGATCAGCAGACGGCAGGAAGTTCTTGCATGGAGAAGGAGAGCTGGCAGGAGATGGCGAAGCAGAAGAGGCTGTCGAAGACCGAGATGAGCCGGAAGACGACGAGGACGATGATAGGGATGACTGAGACTGTCCTTGTCGTCGGAGTGTTTCTATTGTCACCCATGGCTTTGTACTCTCTTCCAGAGCTGTAAGTATGCACACAGAGGACAGATGAGAACGGATCATCATGATTAGCTGAGAAGTACATGCACATCCTTAGCACATGATACAATCATAGCGTTTCCTCCTTTCCTGTACAAAGTGTTTTTTAGAGTAAAGGTGAAAACTCTTGACATTATAATTCTAATGTGATTGATAACTATTCATTTCTACTTCAAGTACAAGTAGTATACTAGCATTGAGCATTGAGATTAGCTACTCTATCATCACAAACTGATGGGAACTATTCTTAGCCAGGGAAATCTAGCTCCAAGCAGTTCTTCCTTTTCATGATGCACACAAGAATACCTCGGTGATCATACGGAGCCTCTGAGTAGTTTCAAAATATGGATGTGGGTGGGTGTGCTGTGCTGAGTAAGAGGAACTGCAGTGAGCTGAAATCATGGAACGCATGCTTGCCACTGGTGGACATTATAATTCTGATGGATGAGTATATCAATTTTAGTAATTGAAGGATCTGTTGCTTCTGATGAAAGTGCCAGAAGGGGAATGAGGGGGCGGTATGGCCTTTGTGCACATTCGGCTTGAATGGACTGACAACTCTTCTATGACAGGACAGTAGATGAATAGGTTGTGGTTTGCTGGACACTAGGTGAGCCAGTCATCCCCAAGTTTGACTCTCTAGCTCTTGGCCCTGTGACATGTAACTAACAATAAAAAACACCGTGTCTTTCAACACCTGCACTATCCTGTGTGAAGTATTATAGTTTTGTACACGATATGCCATGTCTGCTGGTACTACATTTTACAGATTTAATTTGTGCTCCAAGTGCTGCTACTAGGTTTCACGCAGATGTTCACTCAGTGCTTGTAGTCATTCAACAGGACCCTTCACTTCTCTCAAAGTACTTCTCTCGGCTGTGGTTTGGACAACTAATGTCTGCCTGATATCTGATGCAAAGCAGCATGTCTGATGCCCAATGACTGTATGCTCAACGGTGCCAGGGCTATTCTACAGGGGTAATTCTTAGGGAACCTTTCCATGCATGCCTGTGTCACCGCCAAGTCTGCGGCCGCTTTCAATGTTCAACTGAATGCCTGAAAGCTGACTTTGCAGTGCCACTGCCATCATTGTTACGTCCCTGGGATGGCAGTGAGGATACAAGCACTGCAAATTTGTGACAGGCTCCACTAATAGACTTGACAGCAGCTACTTCCCAGCTCCAAGGCAATAATTACTGCCTATTTTCAGAAACTGCTAGAATCCTGTTCAGAAACTGGTCTTCTAGAGAGTGGCTCATTTGCAGCTGACAGCTTGTTACAAGCAGAAAGTAAAAGCCAAGACACGTTTTCTCCATGGCTCATTTTCCTATTAGTCCTCTGTTTCAGTGCTGGCTTTGTGTGACGGAGGTCGATTGTTGAGTGACAGGAGCATAGAAACAGGGCCATGATAACGTTAGACCTACACCATTGCACGTTGAGCCTGGATACATGTATATATACACTGCTGCACTTCCCAGGGCACTTGCCAATTGTCTTCTGCCAGTCGACTTGTATTAGATCCTTGTTTTTTTGGCTACACCTTGCTTGTATATACACTGGCCTACAAGCTCATGCAGGAGACCTCCCTGCTCAGTGCTTGCACTCAGGCTGGGGTGTGACTGTCTCAACAGCCAGCAGGTGGAAATGTACAGTCATGATACATTTGTTTGTCCAGTGCAGTGTGCACGCAATGCAGCAAAGACTGCTGAAGTAGTTGTGTAAACATACTAGTAGTGCCAGTGGTCTGGGGAAGCAGCAATCTACACAGGGTGCATACCTCACAGACACGCACACACAACATTACATTACCTATGACATGTCCTTGTCTATGACTGTACCAGTTACCCCCAAATAATATCCACACTGAAGGGTTTCCTTGGTCCAAAGTTTGAAATTTCGAACATTGATTTTGCGGGTGCATGCTGTACCACGTTGACTACAGCCAGGGGAAGAAAACAACAACAAAATAACATGAGCTGCATGTTTCTTACCGTAAGAACTTCCCCGGTTGAACTGTGGGCAGTATCCCAACTGACTGGTCAGATGGTCGACGACCTGGACATGGGTGATGTACGGACCAGCGACAAACTGGACTTTTAGCCGAGTACGTAACGTGTCGTTCAGCCTCCACCTTGCCAGGATGCCGTCCACGCGGCGTGGGAACGCCACCAACTCGTGGTTCAGCGTATAACGCAGGCCGTCGGGAGCTGTGCCAGCGAAAATGACCGTCTCTCCTCCGTGCAGGGTCGGATGAAGTTTGGACAGCAGTAAGTAAGCCCCGGGGTACTCCGGTAGCATGTGCGGCTGAGTTATGATCATATCCAGCGAGTATTTTGTACTTCGCAGCAACGAGTCGCACAACTCGTCCACCGGGTCCATCTCCGAGTCCAAGTCCAATTCCTCATTGTAGGCTAGTTTTCGCAAATCCATTTGTGAGCCTCCAAAACGTCGAAGCGACGGTTTAGCAAAGGACAGTCTTCCGTCACCTTTCCCTGACCTCCCCTGAAGTCTTTTGCCCAAAGCGAAGCGCAACTCCTGTGTGTATCGTCGACCTGGTGGTCTGCTTGTTGCTAATGCCATGATGTAGATAATGCAGCAACAGTGTAGCTCGGTTTGCGGAGATTGGAGGGCTAGCAAAGACGCGGTCACTGCTCACAGCCACACGGTATCAGCTGGCTGCCAGGCGTGTGTGCGCTGAGCTGCAGCTAACAGTGTGTTACTGTTAGTAGCGTTACTGGTTATGTGACTTGCAGACTCACTGCCTTCGCGATTCGGGTTCGTCACGAGCCTTGGTTTTCCGCGATGGACGTCCACTCGTGGCTTTGTGTCCAAAATCAAAGGAAGTTCATAACGGCACTTGAATGGATGGTCCACTGGTTCCGATTCAACACTTGGGTGACGGTCATCAACTATTCAGCAGTTATGTAATGTGGAGTGTGGTGAAGCTTCACGTCAGCCAATGGCTCAGCAGTGAGCACTTCACTAGCGGATTTAAACTTGATTTGGCTTTGAAGATAAAGAAGACGGAGCTCCGCTAGCACTGGCACCACAAGGAAAGGCTCATTGACATCTTTTCACCACGCAATATCTCTGCAATGAGAACACTGAGGCCGTGAGGGGACTGCCAGAGCGTGAGTGTCTGTGATGTACTCTGAACAGCACTGGTATATCCAGCGCGCTCCCGGGGTAGAAACCGAAGGTAACTGGTTGCAACAGCAGTAGTAGGATCGGTAGCAGTAGCAGTGGTAGAGGGAGGCGTCCGGCTGGTCCAGAAAAGCTGATAGGCACAGGGCCCCGCAGAGATAATCTCTCTCCTCTTCAGCGAAGCAGCAGGGGAGTAAGAGTACTACTACTAGCAGATCCCCTCGCGCACCTAGTGCGAAAATGATAGCAACACCAGGCTGAAAGTGTCGTTGTCTTATCGAACGAAGTATCGCGCATACACGTGTACTAATACTACTTCTTGTGCTCCCCACTTCCACACGAGATGCAGGGGACGAACAACGAGTATGGAGCGGAGCTCCAATGATAAATCGCGAAGTAGCAAATGTTGTAGTTGCTGTTGAAACGCTCGCTCTGGGAACGGTAACTGCTATTCGGATATGCTGTAGATCAACATCCTCGTTCCACTTTCACCTGTCAAACAGTCAGCCGCAGAGAGAAGTTAGAGGATGAAGAGGGAAGTAGAGGGACTTCCCAAATTGACCCGCCACCCTGTTATAGAGTAGCGATCTACAGCGCAGTTGTAAACGGTCACTTCGGCTGATGGATAGCTGATTCTCTTACTCGTTGAAACTTGGAGGAGGACCATGCACACGCTTCCCTATTGCTGTCATTGACTAAGTTAGGGCGCGAGCGACAACGCCGCACACTTGTGCTACGTTGAGAACCTGCTGGCTCGCGCTGTCCCAAAAGACAACTGGCTAGCTGCTTCGATCGGCGCTGTGTCTTGCAAGGCACTGTTCAGAGTGTTCCTGCTCTGGTGCGGCCCGGTTTGGTGTGAAGACTAGCTAGTAGGCTGGTATACACACAAACAGCAGCAGGAGCAGCAGCAGCAGCAGCAGCAGCAACAGGCACTTGCTGGGACTCTATGCAGCAGGATAGCTGGTCAACTCGAGATGTAGTAGAGAGAGATGGCGGCGGGGCTAGGTTAGTATGGGGAAGAGGTAGGGAGGGATGCGCAAAGGTACTAAGGTCAGTATGGGCACAGCAGCAGCACGGCACTGGGATCGTCTGCACGGTGACCTAAACTATCGCTCGTTCAGGAAAAGCCCACCGCACAAGCAGCAGCGCTGGTGTACGACGTTTTGACGAGCAACACGTCGACTCGCCGGTGTACGTTCAGCTAGAGAGACATGGAACCGCTTCTGTTTGAACTAAGTTACTTCTGTGTTATCGTCCCTGTGGCGTTCTACACGCAGACACGATCATGTACAATCTACGATGGTGAAATGAAGACACGATGGGTGTTTAACCTGCCGATCACAATCCTACAATCTTATCAAGTGGAGCTCTACGAATTCACTGAGTAAACCCAGAAGATAATGTAGGTGTTTATAGGCTCAACGATCCCCCTTCTCCTTATCCTGCCGCTGTATGTGCGTTTCGCGATGACTTTGCGATCTCGGCAAAATGGATACAATAATTATGTAGTGTAAGACTTGGCGGTTATCCGCACAGAGCTAACAAGAGAGCCTTGGGTGTTGGTGGTACGTCCCTGGAGATTGTCGTCGCGATAGTATCTCCTCCGTGCGGCGTAGTCATCGGTGTTTTGAATGCGTGTTAGAACAGGCTTTTTGTTCTCGTCCTGGTGCTAACATGTTGCGTCAAAATCCGGCTAATGGCTGATACAAGAATAGTTAGTTATAAATTGTAGGACCTGACAGCCATGGCTAACTGACACGCGCACCCTTTCCCTCTTATTATGGTTTCTTTCGCTAGTGAACATTTGTAGTCAGCTGCGGATGACTGCTACTTTACGATCAATGTGGTTCCCAGAATGGTTCTTTGTTTTCACACGCCGCACGACTAGACTTCGCGAAGGAGTCCTGCCACCAAGCAGGTGTGCCGTTTTAGTGTTGTGTTCCTTGTCACTGTCCCCGACGAAACGCCATTCATACAACGAAGAGATCACCTGGTCCAGTGCACTAGTGGGAGGGCGAGGCCAACTAACAGGTGCTGGACTGGAAGGTGAAAAGCCAGTGCATGGATCGGTTGGTCGGTGACCCGGCTAAACGAAACAGGTTACATCGTATTTTATGACATTGAGCTGTGTTCATGACGTCCCCAGAGGATCTTCCTGCGACCGCCAATACCACCTGCAGCGCGTCCTAGAACTACACTCTACACTACAGCATCATCATCAGCAGCATCATCATCATCAGCAGCAGCAGCAACAGCATGCAGCAGCATCTGGGGCAGAATGACGTAAGAAGACCAGGGCTGCTAGCCACAATGACAGGATCAGTATGAATAATATTGTTCTATTGTAGTTTAAAACATGCCTAACACTTCTACACGTGCCGGCGGAAGACTCGAAATGCTAGCAGCACGCGTGCAACACACAATAGTAACCATACTGGTGGGCAAAGACAGGATAACCCTACTACAAATAGGTGTGCTAAGCCTAATCCATGTACAATTAAATGTAGATCTGGACAGTATTAGTATTACAGCAGTCTCTTTGCGGCTGAGAGTGTGCGCAGAGGAATCTTGGCAAGTGGCAGACAGACAGACACGTGACGTGTGCCAGGCATGCAGAAATGGGATCGTCGCTGCTTGGCAGACTCGAAATGGAGTTCCGCTGCCAGGAACAGTGCTGCCTTCCTATCTGCTGCCGATCCGGGACACTTATGGCTTGAGCGCTCGTGTTGCTCCAGTGTATTTCAAGAAAGGTTCTTTCCTTTCCGAGCTGATGACCTATTTCGCTAGGCTCCTAGCTGCTTCCGTCACAGAGCGCTTATCCAAAGTGTCACTGGCAATGGCTGAACCCAGTGCCTTCTTCCTAGTGTTTTAGATAGAATATCACACTTACATAAAGTTTAATATGACATAATGTGTCATGCTGCTGCCTGGCTCATTTTGGGACTATGGCAGCTGTATATCAGTACATGACTATCAGTATGCATTGCGTCACCATTAGCATCGTAATGATTGCACTAATGGAAGGGTCAAGCGAGAAACAAGCATGGTTATCGTTACAGTCATGGACATTGTACTTTGTAGTTCTTCCTCTCCCAACCTTAACCTATGCCCCGTTTTGCAAAACCCAGATTACCCTTCTTATTCGTGCATGCTCTGCGGGTGGTGCATCACTGGCTCAAGCTGTCGCCAACAATTAGGGAACTAATACTTAGTTCCGGTCCTGCTCACTCACTCATAGCCAATAGCTCCAACGAGGCGGAGCAGAGCACCAATGACACATAATTACGTTACTAGTACATGTATGCCTACTGTTGAGGCCCGCATAACGCGAATCTTGAAGGAAGGACATCTTGGAAGACTATTGTAACTCGTTCATTCTACATCTACTTGAGAACAGTCTCTCGTACTCGTAACGGTAGTCTCTCGTACTCGTAACGGTATACAGTACACGTAAGTGTGTCTCGTCTCGTAACCCCTGAACCGAAGGACGTGAGTGTAGTAGATGGGTTAATGGCGGCCTCGTAACGCCGTGTGCCAAACAACGTGGTGCTTGGCACTGAGGTGCTTTGCAAATGCTTTAACTGCCTAATTGTCACACAGTAACTGGTGGATGCCGATCGTGTGCAACCAATCACCGAATATGTCATGAACGCTGAATTCAGGAGCCATTCTGGAATCAATCTGCGGGTCCACGATCGATCGCCAAACGACCGCCACCGTCAAGCAACGATGTGTAATAGGTCATATCATCTGTAAGCGCTGGAATGCTTTCAACAGAATCTTTCCTTCCTCGTGTGCATTTCCAGGCTGTTTCCGCGTGCTACTTCCAATGACTGGGCCATGGGCCGATCGCAACCTGGTGTAGTGCAGGGCAATAACTGTTCTGATGGGCCGATCCGAGCCTATACCGGTGCCGTGTACTGCAGCTAGCGACGTGCACTGTTCCGCGTGGCTTTGTGACGGTGTTTTTTTGCCTACTAGTGGTGGGATCATAGCGTGCTAGCTAGTAGTACTACTACCAATCAAGGCTTACAAATACTATACTACCGTACTAGTATACATGTATTATATTATTATATTTATTACAACATCTCAAGACTCGGTGGGAACACCGGCCAATGTTAAGAGAGTGGGTGATTGTATAATGCTGCACACACAGCTACGCACCCATCCACCCACGGGCGCACACACACACACACACGCACACACCACACACCATGTACCATGTATACGCCCGTCGCAAGAGAAGCACGCAAATCTGCAAATGCACTGGATGTGCACCCGGTACCCACAGATTTTCTCCTATAAGTAGTGCGTTAGTTATAGCAACGAACAAGATCTGAATGAGACAGATCAAGACGTGCGCCAGATAACTGTCTAATACACACAACTGGCGCACACCACACACACACACACACACACACACACACACACACGCACACACACACACGCACGCACGCAGCCGACGAATGTACCATTTTTAGCTTGGGTGACCTGATCATCTGAACCCCAGCAACTAGCAATGCACAGCCGTTTGCAGAGGAGACACCAATGATCAACATCAGGAGAACCCCAAAACCTGATCCATGGGACCATACACATCACTGAACTGTATAAACCGGTACAGCCACCGACATGATGGCGACAGTTACCACACGTATTGTATTTATTGAAGGATTCCCCAAAGGCTATTCGCCTCTCGAGGGGGTTTCCTGTTTTCGCTTGAGTGATGAGGTACGTGGGATGGGAAGACTGGTAAGAGAGGGAGGAAGAAAGAAGAAGAGAACAGCAGTAGAAAATTATAGCGTCAAGGTCAAGTCATTGCAAGAGTATCGATACTGTAAAGTGCTCTTATGAAAAAGCTGATTAAATTCGGAGAGAGAGAGAGAGAGTCTGTTGAGGTAAGGTTGGGCGGAAGGCAATTCCAGAACAAGCGTCATCTCACCAAGAAGCAAGGCTCTACCCAATCTCAGAGAACAGTAACGGTTACGGTACTTCCCTGACCTCTACTGGCTTACGGTGTCCAGTGAGTGTCGGTTCATGCACTCATGAATGAGAAAGGTAAATCCTACATGTGCAGTTCTTCATGATGAAGGGTTGAAGGCCTATCTCCCCATCAGACTAATAATGCAGCAATTATAACCGTCTGGTATACAATCACTACATGTAGTATTGTACTGGCTGCAACAACAGTCCAATGACAATGTCCACAGCTCGGCAAGACCTGGACGATGGAGAGCCAATGGCAGAATGCGTCTACCATTAATTTTGCTCGTGTATTTGTCGAAGTCGGTTGGCCTAGTTCTCTCTCAATATATCTGTTGTGAAAAAGTTCGAAGGCATCGCAGGCTGTCCATCCGTCCTGCTTTGGACCAAACCATTTGTGTACATTTACATGGGAGACAATTGCCTTTGTATACGTTTTATATAGGTGTCCTGCTTTGTAAAGGTGGCAAGGTTGGACAGTCTGGCATCGCGGGGTTGTGACAGTTAAACCCTGCTGAGTTAGATACGTGTAAGACAACGGAAACACCACTACAGTAGTAATTTGTAGACCAAAGTCCCAACCCCTGAGTCGTGTGGTAAGCACAATGAATCTCTCCTCCCCTTGTTCTATGAGCAGATACAAGCTGTCAATACACGCGATGCAATAATAGCTAGAAGTACATTAACAGTCGTGTAAGTGATATCGTCGACGATTCAGTCCTATCTTATCGAGATGCATCCGTTATCTTATAATATATGTACAATACCAGTGCAATGTCACTAAGTTATGCAGGGGCACCTGTATTGTAGATCACTTTTAAAAACACAACTACCGTTATACCGGTATCTGCCTGGTAATGTGGATGCACATGTACATGTACATGTACGCCTTGCCCCATGTTGCCTCGTCCTAAACGAGTTTGCGAAACACACAACTGTGTGTTCACTATGTTGCCAGATAATCATCACCAACTCAGCATTGTGCGAAGGTTCTTTACAGCGGCCTGACTTGGATTTCTCGTTTTCTCGCTTGCACTTGCACTCAGTCAAAATGAGCTCGGATCGGCTGCTTCCCACTAATCCCAGTCACGGTTTCAGTTTCCAGTCCTTGTGTTACCCGGTGATGTACGCAAGCAGTCAAGATCCGGGGTCTACAGTTAAAGGGGAAGTATACCCTAAAATCAAATTTTCACCAGTTGTAGTCTTCAGGGTGCTGAGTCGAATGGTCTTGGTCCGAGGAAGCTGAGGCGCTTCCTTCCTACTTGAATCCCAATCGAACCCGCGCACTTCCACCGAAACTGGGTGACTGCGCCCTACTAGATGGGGATTTGTATGCAAAATCTCACTAAAAGCGCCGTTTCGTTCTTATAAAAGCACGGATGACCGCGATTGGCCCATATGTTGTAGTCTTTTGGACGCTGAGTCGACTGGTTTTGGTCCGAAAAGGCTGCGATGCAGCGTTCCTCCTTTATTCCCAATCGAACATGGTTGAACAAGCGGTCACGTGCTCCTGCGTACACCAGTCACCTGGTCACCGTGCCTGCAGGGTACAACTTACTAGCCTGTTTGACCTTTTTTGGGTGCAGTCCTGTCACTCGAGTTGAACTCGAGTTGAACCTTGGTGTGAAAGTTGTCGCCTGCTGGCGCGGTGACCAGGTGATTTGGGCACCCAGGAGCACGTGACCGCTTCTTCAACCATGTTCGATTGGGAATAAAGGAGGAACGCTGCATCGCAGCCTTTTCGGACCAAAACCAGTCGACTCAGCGTCCAAAAGACTACAACATATGGGCCAATCGCGGTCATCCGTGCTTTTATAAGAACGAAACGGCGCTTTTAGTGAGATTTTGCATACAAATCCCCATCTAGTAGGGCGCAGTCACCCAGTTTCGGTGGAAGTGCGCGGGTTCGATTGGGATTCAAGTAGGAAGGAAGCGTCGCAGCTTCCTCGGACCAAGACCATTCGACTCAGCACCCAGAAGACTACAACTGGTGAAAAATTGATTTTAGGGTATACTTCCCCTTTAACTAGTTCTACCGACTCACACTGAAGCAGTCAAGTCACTCATTTCAAGTCAAGGTCCATGTGCCGACTCACACGGTCGGTCTCAACTGATCATGATTCACTGGTCGACGGACCGTCGGTGCATGAAGAAAACAGGTTGTAGTGTCAGTGCATCGCATTACACTGCGAACAACAGCCCGAGGAGATAACAACCTACTGCTATTCGCAGTCGACACACGCCGTCACCCGCGAGACGGACCAGGAACGTGCTGCCAAAGCCCGGGTGGATTCTAGGAAATGTTGCCGTTGTTGGTTACATTCAGTAGTCTTTCTTGGGCCCCCTGTTATCATGGTTATGACTGGAATGGAATCGTGTTGTGTGGTCCGCACGTACACGTACACGTACATTGCTGTATTCATGATCCATCTCGCCACACATGTGAAATGCCAGACGTATCGTTGCATGCATTCTTTCCGCACACGCTACCCATGAGAACATCGGACAGGCGACAAGTCCGAGAACACTGTCTGTCACTGGCAGTGGCTGTGTCACTGTATAGTGGGTGTGTGAACACTGCCTTGCCGCACACTGTCTTGCTACACAGGCTCCAGGATATGTTTTGAGGATAACAACAGCTACGCGTATACAGTACCTGGTAACAAGGCGGAGCTGGAGGACCCTCAAAACATGTAAAACGAGCAAGCAAGGCTTTCCAGGCTCCAGCAGCGTCCAGGATCATCTAGGATTCCAGCTTGTCTGACACGATTAGACGATACATGACATGCCATGTCCCTGGGGTGCTGGCGATGGGGATTTCTCGTCCTGACCCGCGTCTTGGAAACCCATACTGCCATAAGGCATAAACCTGGCCCAGGCCAAGGAAGTGTGACAGCCTGGTCACGCGCAGTAACGTAGGTACATGTCCATCGCCTGAGACTGCGAGAGAACCATTTTCAAACGTTGTGCTGGGCATGTGTGTGTGTGTGCCTGCTTGTGTATGTGTGTGTGTGTGTGCGTGTATGCGTGTGTGTGCGTGTATACATGTACATGGTGCGTGCGTGTGTGTGTGTGTGTTTGTGTGTCATGAGATAAGGCCAATCCAATGCACCAAGAGCAACACAATGTGTACACATCATTCGCCTCCTTAAACCATGCTGCAGCAGCAATGGTGACAATAACCCTCTGGAAGTGGAATGACCCTGGACTCTAGCTGGACCAGTGACCCGCAACTGGCAAAGGACCAAAATTTAATAAGTTATACTTGTAGACATAACACAGCTGTGGTAGGATGGTCTCCTGGGAGACGCTGGCAAAGTGTGCACCACATGCACATCACCCTACTCCATACACGTGCATGGTACTATTGGTAGTTGTACACACGGTGCACTGTGGTGGGAGACAGGTGTTTGTGGCTGAGCCTCACCACCCAGAGCTGGCAGGACCTCTCACGACAGTCTCAGCGAAGTTCAGATTCACAATCAGGGAGCAACAAAGTACAATGTACAATATTCGTAACACGGTCGGGTCATTGACATTACCATAAGGCATAAGCTTCCGTGACAAGTCCAGCTACAGCATACACGTACAAACACAGGCACGTACAAGTAGAGCGACATGGAAAATCAGGGAGACAAACTTGTGATGCCAAGACTTAGTAATAGTTACTTGTAGTTGCAAGACCATGTACCAGACTAGACTAAACTAGATCTGAGTTACCCAGCCTAGCCGTCTCCTCACTCTCAGTTCTTCACCACATTGTACCCGTGGTGATCAGCATGTTACAGTACAAGGTGGAGGACGCACCGTGTTGAAAACAGTGCTCCTCCACCGATCACCATTGTTACATGTATCCGCTAAGAAACAAGGCTTACATGATTATACCATACATTATACAATGTATGTGTAGGCAGTTTGTCAGTGAATAACCACTGTCCAGTCACCAGTCCTCCTCTTCTCCTTCTTTCTCCATGACAAATTCACACGCACCCCCCCCCCCCCCACACACACATACACTCACACATACACACACGCACACACACACACACACACACACACACACACACACACACACACATACAGAGGATTTCACTAGTACTCTGTTGAAGTAGTTGCCTACGGTTGCTGCATGCTTCACTGCACGCAAGGATATGGACACAATGAAAACATTGTTATTTATTTATTTATGGATTCCCCAAAGGCCGAGGCCTAAGTCGATTGTCCATGCATCGATCCCCTAGCTTGGATTAGTCACACCTTAGTTAAGGTACTTGATCTCCAGATGTCCAGCATTTTCGGACTAGTACATGCATGGCGATCCACAGCCAGGTGCAGATATACATGTATGCATGTATTGGCTACAGGAACTGATCGTTACTTGGGAATGTGGCAACATACGGGTAACCACAGGATAGGAAGGAACAGGCAAGCGCCGGAATTGATCAAGTTGTCCAATGACAGCAGGGTAATGCACACTGGCCACCCTATATAGAAGTTCAAGAAATTCTGCCGAGACAAACGGTACAAAAGCCAGCAGGAGCATAAAGAGTTACTCTCGGCGGACTGTGACATGCATTGGGGTTTTTTTCAGATAGAAGAAGTACATGGCTCGTACAGTGCCATAGCAATCATAATAATATACGCATGGTACCAGGAAGACCATACAGGCCTATTGTACTGCACCCTACTGCTACTGTGCTCAAATCATCCAAATAGGCCGGGAAACAGATATGAGCACAGCCTGTAGATGCTCAGATTCTATGGCTTTCTATCCAGGAGTTTTTTCGAGCATGGAATAACATGTTGTGACAAGAATTGCACAGGCGGTGAAGATGTGATGGCTGGACATTGCATACGCGGGGGGGGGGGGGGGGGGCAGGACTGCTGTATATGCATAATAAATTTTGCTGCATATGCTTTGAGAGGAGTAGGACTTGACAGTGACTTTAGGCAGGTGGTCTGTATCTATCTATCTATCTATCTACATGTACATAACATTGTATACAGCACTGGGAAAATCATACGGCTGAATCAACAACACTCTTGTTTGTACACTGAACTACGTTTACTTCTACAGATTCATTGACTCATTAAAAGAATCTGCGGCCTCAACACTTTCTGGCGGCCTGGTGGCTGAAGAAGAAATTGCCTGCAAAAATTTGAATCAGAAAAATTGTTGCAATATGGCTGCTCAGAGAAAGGCCATGCACCCTCAGTCAGAGACACATTGTGTGTTATTACGAAAATCCTGTCTTGACAGAGATAATGGTGGTCCCAGTGCAAAGGCATCACTAACCATCGGCCGGTCACCATGGCTGGCCAGGAACCCTTACCCTGATTGGCCAGGAATCTCCAGCTTCCTCTACAGACACGGCATCTCAGAACCCCAGGTAGGCCGAATCCTGCATACACATTGATGCCGTCCTTCGGATACTACTGGACAGATTTGTGGCCTAGGTGGTCCACTTTGATTGTAGATTTAGCAGGAAACTTTGCTTAGCAGGAGCAGATGCACTGTATGTTCCTTCGGACACAACAGAAAAAGAAAGATAAAACAATAATTCTATTGCTTTTGCATTGACGTGCCTATCTGCCCTTCTCAATTGATGCTTCTGCATGGGACATGGAGCATTGGGCATGAAGCATGGGGCATGGAGAGGGGAGGGGGAGGTGTAGTGAGGCTACCCCCCCCCCCCCCACACACACACATCCTCTTAATCAAGGCCATGCAGTGACTCAGGCGGTCACGTGCACAGAATGTTCTCACAATCCCATCCATCTCCCATGTATAGTAGTGCGGCAACACTGCAGTGTGAAGACGGATTGAACTTGAGAAGACACAGCACAGTACAGCACGGCACGGCACAGCACGGCACGGCACAGCACTGCACAGCACAGCACAGGACATCATGGCACAGCCGTGCATGCACGCTTACAGCTTACCTGGCCCTATACCAGCAGTGGTACTTCCAGTCGTCTCTCCTCGCCAGCGGCCAGTTTTGGACTTGAAGGAGGGGTCTGGACGCACCTTCACGGCTGTGTTGAATGAGCTCAGTTCCTGTAGGTTGTATTTGGTTGGACCAGGTGGAGCTGGTGCAGCAGGTAACGGTATGGCTGGCGCTGATAAACACAGGTAGTGGTTTTGCCTGTAGTAGCGTAGTCACAGCATCACAGTCACGGAGGAAAAGGGTAGTCAGACAGAAATGAATGATTCCAATCACTATTATAGTATACAGCTGCTCAGAGGACTTCAAGCTTGAATCTCACTCAAAATCCCCTCGTCCGAAGTCCCCTGCCGGTCAGACCCGTCCACATCCACCCGTCCGAAAGCCTCTGCCGGGTTGGGAGTGGCTAGGCTACAGTAATTATTTGTTCCCGTAGCTATGCAAAAGACGCTACTTCAGTAACGTCTGGCGCTAGCCAGGGTCCACACAGCTATGATCAAGTGACTCATTCTACCGATGACAATCAACCTAGCGGCAGCGTTTCAGTAAACCTTCTATGTCGAACCGACTTACAGCTGAGCTGGCCTCCTGATCTGCACCTCCACGTGACTGTCATATGCACCGGGTCCTGGTGTCTAGAAACCCGTGTACAGTAAAACATGAATAAACCAGATACCACACCACACGAATAAACCAGATACCACAACACACGAATAAACCAGATACCACAACACACGAATAAACCAGATACCACAACACACGAATAAACCAGATACCACAACACACGAATAAACCAGATACCACACCACACGAATAAACCAGATACCACAACACACGAATAAACCAGGTACCACAACACACGAATAAACCAGATACCACAACACACGAATAAACCAGATACCACAACACACGAATAAACCAGATACGACAACACACGAATAAACCAGGTACCACAACACACGAATAAACCAGATACCACAACACACGAATAAACCAGATACCTCAACACACGAATAAACCAGATACCACAACACACGAATAAACCAGATACCACAACACACGAATAAACCAGATACCACAACACACGAATAAACCAGATACCACAACACACGAATAAACCAGATACCACAACACACGAATAAACCAGATACCACACCACACGAATAAACCAGATACCACAACACACGAATAAACCAGGTACCACAACACACGAATAAACCAGATACCACAACACACGAATAAACCAGATACCACAACACACGAATAAACCAGATACCACAACACACGAATAAACCAGGTACCACAACACACGAATAAACCAGATACCACAACACACGAATAAACCAGATACCACAACACATGAATAAACCAGATACCACAACACACGAATAAACCAGATACCACAACACACGAATAAACCAGATACCACAACACACGAATAAACCAGATACCACAACACACGAATAAACCAGATACCACAACACACGAATAAACCAGATACCACAACACACGAATAAACCAGATACCACAACACACGAATAAACCAGATACCACAACACACGAATGAACCAGATACCACAACACACGAATAAACCAGATACCACAACACATGAATAAACCAGATACCACACCACACGAATAAACCAGATACCACAACACACGAATAAACCAGATACCACAACACACGAATAAACCAGATACCACAACACACGAATAAACCAGATACCACAACACACGAATAAACCAGATACCACAACACACGAATAAACGAGATACCACAACACATGAATAAACCAGATACCACACCACACGAATAAACCAGATACCACAACACACGAATAAACCAGATACCACAACACACGAATAAACCAGATACCACAACACACGAATAAACCAGATACCACAACACACGAATAAACCAGATACCACAACACACGAATAAACCAGATACCACAACACACGAATAAACCAGATACCACAACACACGAATAAACCAGATACCACAACACACGAATAAACCAGATACCACAACACACGAATAAACCAGATACCACAACACACGAATAAACCAGATACCACAACACACGAATAAACCAGATACCACAACACACGAATAAACCAGGAACCACAACACACGAATAAACCAGATACCACAACACACGAATAAACCAGATACCACAACACACGAATAAACCAGGTACCACAACACACGAATAAACCAGATACCACAACACACGAATAAACCAGATACCACAACACACGAATAAACCAGATACCACAACACACGAATAAACCAGATACCACAACACACGAATAAACCAGGTACCACAACACACGAATAAACCAGATACCACAACACACGAATAAACCAGATACCACAACACACGAATAAACCAGGTACCACAACACATGAATAAACCAGGTACCACAAAGCCCGGATCAACATGTAGAAAAATAGTTTAGAATACACAAGACACAATGCTTTCTGAACCAAGATGGGAAGAACTATTGTGTAGAAATGGTTGCTACGATTGTGAAAGACGTGTACTCACCTCTTTGGGCGGTGGGAAGATTGTCCTAGGAACTGTGGAGCGGAACAAGTTGTTGTAGCCCTGCGGTGGTTTGGGTCTCACTGCACTCATATTAGTATTGTATTGTCCTGTGTAGACAGCAGCAAGAGCAAAGTAAATAGTATACACCCCAAATCCAGGCACATGCCAGGGTTCTAGCCAAGTCAAAATAGTAGGGGCAAGGGGGGGGGGGCAGGGAAAACAGTTACAGGCCCATTTTTCCATTTTCAAAATAACTGTCTTGCTATGCGAAATGCAACGTACTGGGCGAACTCCTACATGTACTTCAAGGGGGCGCTGCCCCCCCCCCCCCCCTACACCCCTTTGCCTTGGCTAAGTTAGAACCCTTCATGCACATATACTTTGACCATCCTGATGATACATTCCAGTACACTTCAGTACACAATACCATTACGCGATGGTAGCTCATGATTGACTATCCCGTCACTGCCCTCATGATGTGATCGGGTGCAATATACATGTACATATAGCGGGCAGTGACTGTAACACACTCTGAAGTACTAGTAGTAAGTTTAGACTGGTCAAATCGCAATCCTGCAGACAGCTGTTTAAGTCAAAGAGGCCCGATCCGTGCACTGACCTACAAGCCAAGTAGAACCCTATGCCTAACAGGCCCGGTGGAACCAGTGCGGTTGATCCGGTTAACACCGAACCAACTTGTGTAGCTACCAACGCATGTTTACTGCCGAGTAGGGCATACATGTACATCCCCCGGCGCCGTAAGTTATACACAACGTATGAAAGACTGTGGTACGACCGGACCAATTGAAAACTGCTTCCGGTGAGCACTCCTTGATCTGGCGGTGGCATGTCACCAGGTCTAGACCGGTAGCTGAATGCGGATAATCAATGATACCGGGCCGGAAGCAATGGCTCACAGCCAGAATTATAACTGTTACTACTCTATGTATTGCAGCACACCACTTTGCTGCTCCGATGGACTATATCGTAATGATTCATTGGATGCTGGGCAATAACATGGGTACCAGTACTGTAGGTGGCCTGAACCTTCCTTTAGTGGGCAACGCTTTCACATACTCCCCATAAACATACAGGCTATAGCTGCATCTGAAACACTGAGTTGGCGAATTATTACTGCTGATCAATTAAAAACCAATCGGCTGTACAATCAAAGTAGAGCAACGTACCCGGTGCTGGATTGGCTGCAGTGTGAAGTTCAACCGGCTCCCTCCTGCACCTACATGTACATGAACACAGGAGGGAAGTAGATGAACACAAACCTCCCCTCATTGGGACTTTCCGCACCCGAGCCTTCCAAGTTCAAGTGGAAGGTTGTTGGTTTGCGCTTCGTAGATGTGTTGGAGCTAACATAGGTGTCAGGTCGTCGAACATCTCAATATCCTCGTCAGTTTTGTGCCTTGTTGTCGCACTATCTGACTGTATGCTATCTCGTTACCTTGGTAGACTTTTAGTCATAGCTACAAGCAACTTATAGGTCCTTTTCTCTTTTCATACAAGAAAAACTGTTGGATTTTGTTTCAATGCAATACAATCCCTCAAACCAATGAAAAAGAAGACAGTCAGATCATTCTGTATATCACTGACATGACATAGCAGCTAATGCTACTTGTGACTGCTGCGATTACAGATTTTTCCCAGTACCCTTCCTATCTGTTAGTGCTCTAGTATTATGGAATGTTCTGGTTCAGTAAACGTATTCCGAGCTGTACTATGTGCCATTTTTGGCTTGGAGTACATAGGGGTGGACCAGGATGCCAGGGTTCAATGGGTCCAGGGATCAGGGTCTGTTTGTCGTTCAGAGAATTATTTTAGTAGTGCAATCGAAAAAAGCGGATATCAAGGGCAATGACAACTTCAGCTGAAGAGGGGTCTATCAATGGGAACCTTTTTAGCTATAGCTACGCCTCTGGCACATGGATCGGGGAGCCATACACTAAAATATGGACCTAAATAAAAGGTGGCCAGCTATGCCCTCGTCACTGAAAGAATACAAAGTGGTGGCTACAGACAAGTCTTCAGTTACATGTACTCATCACATGTGTGATGACCTACTGATGAAAGTACAGCCGAGTATGGCCAAATACTGGTGCATGATTCAAACACCTCTGTCATATGGATCTTGTGAATCCGACGTTCACCACGACCAATCTTGTCTTACTTTGCTTTGAAAGATGCCGCTGCCGGTACTGGCTTGCTCTCAGTCAAGACCTACATGTACACACACACACACACACACACACACACACACACACACACACACACACACACACACATGCGCGCGCACACACAGTCACACACCATGTTTGCAGATCACAAACCACTAGTATTAGTAATTTAAAGAAAAATGAAAAGATCAGCGCATGTGCAGCTGGTTTTGCTCAATACGAGCACATCACATTGCTACGCTAGACCACTGTTGGGAGCAGGGAACAGCCAATGATGATCCGTCATAATCTAGGCATCAGTTGACATATTTTCATTTCTGTTGTTTTGAATTCTTGACCTCGTCGCATGCTGAAGCCAGCCAATATGAGCACTGTGCGGAGAAGGGTGCGAGCTGACCATGCGGCTAGGACAGCCAAGACCCGGGCAGAGATGACCTCCAGCGGTGTGCAACTTGTGACGACGAATGGCACTTTCACAGCGTCGTGAAAGAAGCTTGACACACATATGCAACATTCGGTAGCTAAAAACTACCCACATCACAGCTGTACTTTAAATCCACTGACGGTGATGTACTACTTTTGTTAGAGAAGATCATCACTTACACTGTACTTGTTGGGAGCAGGTCCCGTGTCCTTTCTTTGACGAAAACTTGCAGGCACCAGATCATCTCGGAATACTCTGGAATCAAACGAAGGTGAAGAATCGGAGAGCCAATGTCACTAAATGCCTGTGAATAAGCTAAAGCCGGGTGGTGGGAAGCAGCAATTGAATATAATAGCCGCATATTTCCAAGTGACCGGCCTGCTGTTTTCTTTCAGTGATACAAACCATTTCATATGATGTCTTTCTGAAGTAAGCTGGCATGCACACATACCACACGTTCGCTGTATGCACACGGAGGCTCATGTGCTAAGCTCAGGGCATCAATAGCCACACAGCAACCTTCGGCTCTGGAAGTATCTAGCACAGACGGTATACCCCCCCCCCCTTCTGTTACATCCCAAGTTACCGGCATGCTTGATTCTCGGAAACGCCGGGTCACATGACCGACTCAGCGCACGTGTCACTTGTGCCGTACCGCCCGTAAAATAGTTCATGCATGCAATTATCATGTGCTCTGTCGTGTTAGCTAGGGATAACATGTACATGTGTCTGTACTGGGCCAAACTTGGTGTGCATGTGCCACTCACCGTGTTGTTTCTGCCTGTCGAAAGTCATGTCGATCCAACTTCTTCTGGGCATCAGCAGCATTGTACGAATCTAGGTCAACACAGCACACATGGAAGTCATGCACAAGTGTGTATGTGTGTGTGTGTGTGTGTGTGTGTGTGTGTGTGTGTATGTGTGTGTGTGTGTGTGTGTGTGTGTATATATGCGCGTGCGTGCATGTGACTTGCTGTGTGTGTGTGTGTGTGGAGGGGGGGGGGGTAGCTTATTTAGCCTTACTATGTGATGTAGGAGCCGTTTTGAGAATACTATTGTAACCCGTATACTCTCAGCACTCAAGACTCTCAAAGCACATACCCGTATTTTCCGGGGTATAAGCCGCACTTTTTTTCGCTAAAAATCGGACCAAAATCGCCCCTGCGGCTTATACACCGAATATGCTTGCGCGAATGAATGCTTAGCATACATCAGTATGCATGCTGACGTCATGTGACATGTCATTCGACTCAGCTTCGCGCCTGTGTTGCTATCCCGGCACTTTTACCAGTTTTAGTGCGCGGGCTACACCATACGGTACGCGTATACGGGGACTCTATTTTGCGTACTGCAAGTGCCGGTTTCCACACATCCTAGTATACAGCAATACGATAATACCATGGAGTGATCTGTAGTCAACATGGAGTGATCTGTAGTCAACACAGCAATACACCAACATCTCTGCAGCAACCTCCACTGTGCACTAACACTTCATAATCTGATCTAACATGGTATTTAGCTCTATAACCATAATAAATTTGTAGAAAGGCCATTAGTCAATGAGCGTGAAAAATCTTGGTTTGTGGGTGCGGCTTATACTCCGAATACCAACCTTTTATTTGTCAATATTTTGCCTCAAAAAGGGGGGTGCGGCTTATACCCCGGAAAATACGGTACTTGTAGTTACGTAAGTTATCATCAGTGTTCATCGTCTCACTTGGAGAAGAAGAACACCAAGGCAGTGCGAGTATGCGCACAGCTATCCATGCATTCCTACGGTGTACTACTTAAATTGTCGTGCGTTTTGTAGAGCTTGCGTGCCTGTCGTGGTGTGGTACTGGACAGTCACCATTACCGCTCAAGGCACCACACAGGAGATAGCAAAATCAGCCAGTTTCCACTCGTATAGGTCTTCATCCAGAATAACAATTCCTGTGGGCTTCCCAGAGTTAAGCCGAGTCAACTGTTGCTGAGTCTCATTGGAGAATTGTGGCTCAAACTGAGATTCTTTCAGGCTTCTAGAGATCATTTGGCATAACTGTTGGCTGGATCGCACAACTTCATTTCGGCCCGGGGCAGATGAAGGTAAATCAGTATGATGTGGTACATGCGTATTTGGCTGTTACAGAAGTTTCATGTAAGGAACTATTGTTTGCTACCTGGTTTTCATCCTTCGGAAGGGGAAAGTATAGGTCATCAGTCAAAGACCACAGCATGACATACTTACTGGGCGCTACAGCACCAGGTCTTGCCTGTGTAAAGCGTTGGCACTGCACAGTGAATAATATTCAAACGATCATGCATAGCACGTCATAACAACGGCCAGTCATGCAACCAGCAGTACATGCATGCACATGCAAGCACTACAGTACTTCTACAGTACTTTTTGTGTGTATGCACTGTACATACACTTCAAAACAGCAGAGATTTTGACGCTCACCAATACCATTCAATGGTGTTTTCGTTGACAACATTCTACATATTCTATGGGTAAATTCCCCACTCTGAATCACACGCAAAGATCCGGAATTCCTTGCATTAAACAATCTAGGGACATTCGGAAAGTCAACCTAGCTGTACTTGTATTTAGATAGTGGATAATATTAGCAAATTCCAACATATAGCCATGCACTGAAATACAGTGCTGTCGGGTGCTGAAGAACGACCAGGTTAGAATTTCATCGAGCACAGCATACCAATGTACACACGGTGACTCGACTGCGGATACACTGTAATACATGAAAATAAGAACGGTCTAGGCTTGGAAGCTGATCCCTCCGGACCCTCCCCCTCCCCCCCCCCCCCCTAGTTCTTCGGCGACCGGCAGTACGAGCACCTATTGCAGTGATTCCAATCCATTTCCATGAACCCGTGGCCGTGACGGTTGTGCAATCCATTGTCAAACTATGTTTCATTGCAGATGTCCAAGCCAAGGAGCGAGTAGGAATCATTCATTGTGGCTAGGGATCAGGTCACTGCGATTCATAGCAGGGTGGACCAGAAACATTGCTACCTCAGAGACACACTCGTCCTACCTTGGACGCAAAGTTGCCGGTTCCTTTCTGGGAAAGCGAAGTCGTGTCTGACCTTGCAACACTGCCGATGTTTGCTGTTTTGTATGCCCCGGGACCTGGGCAATCATTCTGCATCGGGGAACACGGGACACAGTACAAGTAGGCCGCAACGGACACGATATAGTAAGTTTACAGCAATAGTTTTGACACTACAATTCAAGCACGTTACAGCACCAGTGGCTAACTTACTTCAGTGATAACTACATGACTTGTGCATATATACCGACATGGCCGGCCGGTACCATCCCCATGTTGCCTGATGATTGCGAAAGCGTGAAACTCAGAGTAGCGACTAACTAGCCTTGATTGCGTTTGTTGTTCTGTGTAACTACATGTACATGTACATGGATCATACTGTGAAAGAATTTCCTTGCAGCAGCGAAACCGGCACTAATACAAATCTATACAGTGCAATGTTGCCTTGACCAACAGCAAACCCTGGCTAAGGTGTAATCAAGTGATCCCACGTTAGCCTGACCATAGATTATTTACATGTACATGACATGTTTGGTCAGGACGCCTAGGTTTGCAGAGGGATATGGACTCAGCTTGCAGAGACCGGTATAGACTCCTGCAACGTACGGCTTCGTAGGCGGTGTCTTGAAACCGAGTGGTGGTGCTCATGAAGCCTTTCCGGTCGTCGCGCGGATAGAACACGGTGCGATACTTTGTCGGGATTGAACCTTGGCCAGTCCCTCTCTGGGCGTCCGCAGCTGCAGTAGGACATACATATGCAAGCACAGGAGGTCACACACTCTCTCCTTTTCAGTGCTTCTGAACTGTCCTGGTCCCCTTTGGTGTATGCTGTAAGTACTGAACGGAATGTAAAAAATCTATCATGAACAAAGAGCTTCTCTGACGAGCCTTTAGTAGGCAAAACAGCTGTCAGAATGAGTATTATCAGTAGCAATACTTGGAGTACCCGTAACCCCTTTGTTGTTTATTGGTGTGTGTAATGGCTACCTCGGTAGCCAGGTGTCGGCAGTGGGGGCGCCTGGAGGAGTAGAGGAGGGGAGATTGTTGCTTTACGTCCCGCGGCATTGGGAGATTTTGGACTACACGCCATGGGTGTACATGTACATCAGTGACTGAAGTGGTTAACGTCTTTCAAATACAAGTAGTAATCCTTACTATGAGAAACGTAGGTGCGCGTGTGTACAGCAGCCGAGTGGCCAGCAAAATCCAACAGTAATCTCAAACGCATGCTTGTCACGGCTGCCATCACACACAGAACTGTGGCAGTGCTTTCGAGGCCGAACACGTTTGCTATACGCCTCACGATAGCATGGAAACTCAGAGTTGTAACAAGTTGTACTACTACTAAGAACATAACCGCTTGGTCTACTGGTCCCGGCAATGTGCATGCTATTTGCCAGTATTAGGAAAGATGGAATCTGATACGGTTAGGGACCTTTACATAGCTACCAGTATAAGCTCCCGGTATGCTCTTGCAGCTTTGTGCAGTATTCACGCACTCTACAGCTAGCTATACTCACAGCGCTCATGGGCAGTCGTGGCTAGCGGTCGAGCGGGCCGAGTCCGTTTGTTCCCATCTCGCCACTCATTAGCGTCCACCCACTCCACGCTGTCGCCATGACGAGATGCCATTGCTACTGCTCCGGAGACTCAGCAAAGACTTAAAGTCAAGAGCTCCGATGACCTCAGCCTACTGTAGTGTCTAGTGAGAATGTCTGCAGCCTTGCAGGTTGGTCGTCATCAGAGTCAGCTACTGCCACTACGGCACTAGAAGTAGATGAACAACGGCGCTAGGTAGATCTACTATTAGTAACACACGGGTAGTGTTGTACAATCAATCATGTACTGTTAGCACCGGGCATAAGTACTGAACCTGGGCCCCAGCTAGCGCTGCTTTCCAAGCCGTGATTCAGATGGTCGTGATACAACAGCAACCACGAACATTTTCACTGCTACACCTCGCCTCTGTCCACAAAGCCTGCATTATTCGTTTTCATTCAACCTCATCCATCCGATCACCTAGCGACCTTCATGTACAGTCTAGTACTCGTACTGCAACGACTTGCGCTATTCACTATGTATGATAATTATAACAATCGTATAGTCTAGTACAAGGTGTTAGTACTAGCGATGCTGACGATAGTGTTTGCACAGCCGGGATCGGCAATGACCATCAGTGCTAAATTATTTTAGTAGGCATCACTCAGAACTAGAACCGACCAAATACGCTAACGATATCGTTATCAGAATATGATGACTGATGTCGCTGAGAAAATAGTAATTTTTGGTAGAGTCCCTACATTCTTGATGTACAAAAGAAGAGAGAGAGAGTCATGATTGTATTGTTGTAGGTACGTACGGGTAGTCACATGCAATAATGACTTACATGTATATAGTCAATCATTGCATAGGATTACATGTAGTGGGCACAGCCGTGCTTGCGCAGTTGTGGTGTAGTCTGTAGTACTAGATCTGTGACGGGTGGCGCTGTTGATCGGAACGTTGCCAATTGATCGGAACGTTGCCAATAGAGATGTCGACATGGCGACAGACATCACCTAACGCGACCTAGTACTACAAGTCACTACAACTGGACACAAATCAAGTAGAGGGTACTAGGGTGCCGATGAGTGCCATGACCACAGAAGAACTGAACGGCTTTTGCCAACCTTCAATACGTTGACAGAGTCTGGTGCCACCAGCTCAGGGTCGTCCTATGACCTATGGCTATGTCTATGAATATGATGACTGATGTCGCTGAGAAAATAGTAATTTTTGGTAGAGTCCCTACATTCTTGATGTACAAAAGAAGAGAGAGCTAGAGAGTCATGATTGTATTGTTGTAGGTACCGGTAGTCACATGCAATAATGACTTACATGTATGTAGCGAGGTGATTTGGCATTTTTTAACATTTGGCATTTTTTAACAAATGTGTAAAATTTGCTTTTCTTCTGGCTGTTTCTCTGCTCCGGATGGCTGTATCGAAACATGGGTGGTGGCAAATGGGAGGCAGTTTATCGTAGATCAACATTGACCAGAAAATTTGGTGCACATAATTTAATTCTCCCTGCCACGTTGGTATAACTAGTGGTGGGTGCTTTGCCATTTTGTGTAAAATGTGTAAAATGAGCCCCTGAATGGACGAGGAGGGCAGTGAATTGCTTCCGCAGGGCCTTTGGACGACGTCAGGCCGTCTTGCCATCACTAGAGACAGTAATGAAGAACAGTAGGTCACGGAATGCACTCTGTGAGAACGAAAACATCGCTGCGATGCTATGCTATCTATCCAATTCCACCGTATAACACAGCCACTAGTTACAAATACAAAACACGGCTTTCGCAGCATACAATGCAGTTCACTCCTCTGTTGACAGATTAATTTTCATCCACTAGCAATCCTTGAAGTGATATCTATCAACTTCAGAACATTGATGACCGAATATCCCAGTTTGTGATGCCATTTTACAAATTTGTTAAAAAATGACACACCAATTATTTGAATCCTGAGAATACTGTGAAAGTAGGACATGTTTCAAGACACTTTCCAAAGTGGGATCATTCCCATTTTTGGACACAACGGGCATGAAGGATAGCACTTCCACTTGCAACAATTCATTTGGACGTACTTGTCTAGAAGTCGGACTGAAAAACGTCATTTTACAAATACAAGCCAAACCACCTCGATCGTACATGTCCATGCGCATGACATGGACAGTGCACGTGAAACGAAAAGATTTTTTTGGCGGGTAGTCGGCAAAAAATTAAGTGACGGTCCCTTCGCCGCGTTTGAATGACTGTTATGAGTCATATAATGACGCAGCTAGCTGTTTTCACTTCACGGCGTAAAAATCACACCACACATGCAAGCTCCACGGCCACACACGTACACGCGTACACGATTTCGAAGCTGCAGCCTTGGCCTTGCACTTGCAGGTAGATCTACCGAACAAAACTGCACTGCAGTGCTGGTATTTTTCCTCAGTCAGTTCGAATTATTTTTCTTGCTGTGCTACTTTTACTTTGGAGGTGTTTCTTTCTGGAGTGGACGCCACTCTTCTCAGGGTCTAGTTCTTCTCTTTGGTACAATGGCAGATGCACTTGGTGGCGATGGGGCCCCAATTGGTGGTGTAACCGGCCCAGAGTCGATGTACGTGAAATTAATCTCTTCTGATAACTTTGAATTTTACATCAAGAGAGAACATGCCTTCATTTCAGGCACAATCAAGGCAATGATGAGCGGTCCAGGTACTATTGAAACTCTGGATGGTCGGTCGTGTTCGTGGTCGTGGGTAATAAGCATGCCTTATATTACTCCCGGGTATGTCTGCAGGTCAATTCGAGGAGAATGAGACCAATGAAGTACTTTTCAGAGAAATCCCGTAAGTTATTCTGGCGTATTGAGAACTTTTATTCAAAAGCCGATAACTCCTTTCTCTCCGTCTCTCTCGCTCTCTCTCTCTCTCTCTCTTCTCTCTCTCTCTCTCTCTCTCTCTCTCTCTCTCTCTCTCTCTCTCTCTCTCTCTCTCTCTCTCCTCTCTCTCTCTCTCTCTCTCTCTCTCTCTCTCTCTCTATCTCTCTCTCTCTCTTCATCTCTCATCTCTCATCTCTCATCTCTCATCTCTCATCTCTCATCTCATCTCTCATCTCTCTCTCTCTCTCTCTCTCTCTCTCTCTCTCTCTCTCTCTCTCTCTCTCTCTCTCTCTCTCTCTCTCTCTCTTCTCTCTCTCTCTCTCTCTCTCTCTCTCTCTCTCTCTCTCTCTCTCTCTCTCTCTCTCTCTCTCTCTCTCTCTCTCTCTCTCTCACACACACACACACACACACACACACACACACACACACACACACACACACACACACACACACACACACACACACTCTCTCTCTCTCTCTCTCTCTCTCTCTCTCTCTCTCTCTCTCTCTCTCTCTCTCTCTCTCTCTCTCTCTCTCTCTCTCTCTCTCACACACACACACACACACACACACACACACACACACACACACACCTCTCCCACTCACACGCACGCACACACACCTCTCTCTCCTCTCTCTCCTCTCTCTCTCTCTCTCTCTCTCTCTCTCTCTCTCTCTCTCTCTCTCTCTCTCCGTGTCGCTTGTCTTAAAAATGTGAATGTGTTGTCAGTACGCCCAGTACGATACGCATCTGCTCCTCTACACAAAGCATTGATTTTCCAGCAACTGTCCTTGCCAATTCTCAAGAATAGGGAAAATTGAAATACCCTCAGCCTGATCTTGACTAGTGACACCAAGAGGACATAACCCCCCAGAGTGTGCAACGCCTGATCCAGCTCTGCATAGGGTCTTGGTCGAGCGTAATCGGATCTTCTGATGTCATGCGTACACTCCATACCAGCGCAAGGCCGGTCACGGCTGTCCGCGGCTGACCAGATTACAATATGGCGTCGTTCCACCGGGTTTTAGAGAAGTTTTGGAAACTCGATGCGAATCGGTAAATTATTGTGAATAGTAACAAAACCAAGTTGGTTTTCAGTATGATTCGACACAAAAAACGCAAACAGTTGAAGATCGTTTGAAAATTTGAAAGAGGAGCATGATCTTGTGCTCCAAATGTTTTTCTTTGGAGCGTTGGAAATACAAACACGAAGACAGACATAGCTGTCACCACGCTGTCTTCTTACCTGTTTACGAGGAGACTGAACCTTGGTCCTCGGCTTTCCTCTTCTGTGGACGAGGAGCCAGCGTACTGGCTTCTTTGGTGGTTGTTAGCAGATGCTGCTCGGCGACAACTTTCAGCCTGGCGAGGTCTCCTGGTATGTTTTTATAGATGGCGTTGAGGGTGTTGAGACTGGCGTGCAAGCTCTCTGCCCCTTGCTCCGCGAGCAGGCTAAGACCAACGCCAAGTTTCCTGATGAGCGGCACCGTATGATTCTCTAACAGGTGAAGTTTCGGCGTGATGTTTCCAAGTCGCCGTGTCACAACGTGTCGTCTGCACATACTCAAGAAACGCCGAACTTCAGACTCCAGCTGATCCATCTCGTCTGCTGAAACTGCCTGGCTGTGACTGAAGATAGCTCGACAAGAAGCGTAGCTGTTCATCAGATTCTCGTGTAAAGATGCTATTGTTTGGGCCTCCTCCGCCAGGACTGGACACCTGGACGTGAGGACCGGTACGTGAGCATGGCTGATGGCAGTGACCACGGTGGGCTTCAAGGCTTGGTGGACGTGATTGCCGATGAAAGCACCACCGTGGTACACTTGACGTTCGATCTTGTGGTGTTGGAGAACAGGCTCCACAGAGGCTACGCATGGGCCACTGAAGTCCTTACTGCGGCATAGCTTGGCGATTTCGTCCTTCAAGGCGTCGACAGTCGAAGTGTGTTGCTGGGTCTTCGTAACTGCTGCCGTGCCTGAATGCCATGTCAAGCTTTCAGGCAATCGTGCCTGTCACTCTCATTGAGGATGTCGAGGAAGTGCATGACAACAGCGACAAGGTCTGGAAAAAATACAGTGGCAGCCATGGAGACATCGCCATTCCGCTTCGACATCGGCAGCTCTGTAGCGGTGTAGCTGGGCAGCGTCTTCGTGATGAACTCTCGTATAGAACGTTCAGACTCCAACTTTACTCCGAAGACCTTGAGCCACTGCCGCAGCTTCCTGAATTGGCTCCATGGCAGTCGGAGGTCTGCCTGAGCTCCTCCTGTGCAGCTGATGAGAGCCGCTTCAGCCCAGCAATCATTTGCACTCGAGCTCCATCCGATCCACCACAAACAGACTCTGCAATTCGGGTCAGCTCAGCAGCGCGGCGTTTGAGTGTTGAGGCAGACGCATCGGTTGACGGTACACTGCACTCTGGTGTTAGCTGGTAAACTTGCGGTTTGCCCCTGCCTCCTTCGCCAGTTTTCACCTCCAGCCTGCCACCCTCTGCCCTAGCCGTGACCAGACGTGCAGTGAGGTTGGTTGCCACATTGCCCTTCAACTTCGACGGAGAAGCACTGAGAACCTCAGCCACTGTTGACGATGGGCGCACAGAGCGGATAGGTGTCGTGCTCGGCGGCGGGCTACGTGCTGTGCTGCATGATGGCGTCTCTGCGGGATTGAACGGGCACATGTTGACATGACGTTGCAAGTCATGCAGCGGCACGACTTCAGGACATCCACGTAGCGATGGCTCGTGGAAGTCGCAGTGTATGGACTGGCTGCTGACAACCCTGGTTAGACTAATGCTGGGCGTGCGCATCGATGATGCAGCCATGTCAGCGCTGCAAGATTTGCATGTGTTATTCGTGCTGAGCCATTCGCTTATGCACTCTGCACAACTCGGATCATTGCAGCATGCTGTTTCCAGGATACCGTCTGCGGTATTCTGACAAATGATGCAAATTTGCACCGCATTTCTGTCTAAAAATCTGTCCCTGTCAAGCGGCAGTGTTGCACGATGTTGTCGCGCTGCTCTTGATTGTATGCATTCTGCACTGATATCTAGACCACTTACACTGCTGGTGGCTGAGTGTGTAGGTGATCCATCATCGCTCTGGTGGCTGGGTGCTGCCAGGAGTGCGGCACCTCGCAATGCTGTGTTCGGTTTTGCATGGTGCGCGCTTGCGCCCCTTTTTTTCTGGCTTGCACACACAGAGCAGTTTGTGCGATGGTGTGGCTCCCATTTGGTGACAGGTCCACAGCCACCTTCACAATGTTCTGCCTTTCTACTGGCTCTCTTTAGGGCTCGCTCGCACAGAATACAGATGTACGGTGGGTGGATGTCTGAGCAATCTTTCGAGATATCATTGCCATGTACATATTTCAGCAGATCACTATATTTTTCCACACTATATCTGGTAGACTGCTGGAAACAGGAAAACTTTCTGCCACCGACTCGGCAGACTTCTTGCAGTGGCGATTTATGCTCATCCATGATCACCCTACGTCCTCACAACAACTGGAGAGTAACACAATTGCAGTTACGATCCAGTAAGTGTGGGAAATACCAAAAGTTTGGGAATATTGCAAACGCAAGTCACACGGAATTGATGCACGTCACGGAACGAAATTTTCTACAGCACCAGAACGGACACTTACCTACCCGATTCCAAATTATCTAAACGATACTCAAATCTGGGGATACTATTTGGGGCACAAACGTTGGCTCAAATTCTGCACGACGAACGTCCCAGGAGAGGAAAACAAACGTCCTCCAGAGACAAGGAAACAAATCGAAGCAGTGGTCGCGCGGCATGTACGCGGAGCTGAGGGAAAGGCAAAGCCGAAAAATCGAAAACTCAGGGCAAACCAAGCTGATTGGAGACGAAAAGTGGCGAAGTCTGTGGAATACTTAGCTGTCTAAAGCAATTCCTGGACGAAAATCATTAATTTTTACGCGTTCTCGGCCGCCATATTAAATGGGCCAAAATCGCGCAAAAAAACAGCCGTGCGGTCTCAAGGCAGGGCACCATTGTTTTTGATTCGAGAGCACCCGCGACTCCCCGGGTTCCTCTCAGATGTGTACGGTATTATGATGCAAAGATCTGATTACACTCGACCAAGACCCTGTGCAGAGCTGGATCAGGCGCCGCACACACTCTGGGGGGTTATGTACTCTTGGTGACACGGCACCACTGGTACGTCCTGCCCTCCGAGTGGTCACGCTGCTCTAGTTGCACACTTACGGCGGCTACACGACCCAGCAGCTCCATTCACACGACCCTACTGTGTAGAATGTAGATTGCAGTGGAGTTGTGACGTGAACGGTCCCCCCCCCCCCCCCCCCCCTGGCCAGTACTGTACTATTGCTGAGAAAGTCAGAGTGCTTATGTTGACTTGCGTTGAGATGATCACAGGGAATATGCGCATTTCGATAGAAATTTGTTGAAAGCAGATGAATGGAGTACTGGAATATACCTGCTGTCATGCAAGCCGGTCTGTACTCAGACTTGCACTATATAGGCTATTCATGCTCCGTTCCAATACGCGTCACGTTTTGGCATTCCACGTACTGGCAGATGTCGTTTTCATGCAAATTCATTCACACAAGCATGTACGTGCGTTTTGTACGGCTGTGCATACAGCTTTTTTTGGACACAAATTGCCGGGAACGGCAGAACGAATCTTGGTACAGGGGTCTTGATACATTGTCGCACCGTGCAACCTGAGCCAGGCATACAGTTGGTAGGCCACTGCAGCTTGCGTACTCAGGGCCGTAGCAGGCGGTCCGGCAGCTGCCGGACCAATATTCGGCCAAAAAAAAGCAAGAGCTCACACATGTAAGCAGATCCGACCGCGAGGCATCGAGGTCGGATCTTGCCGGACCAACCAATATGGGGCTGCTACGGGCCTGGTACTGGTGTTGTGCAACGGTCATACGGACTACGTCAAAGTATGCTCAGCATGTCGTTTTCGTGTACACAGTGACTTCATCGGATGCCAAACGTCAACCCAGCCAGGCCACCGCACCATTGTCAACACGGATATATGTTGAAAGGAAAACTCTAAATGATATGATTTGATAAAGCTGTACATATATACTGCACACAAGCTAGAGAGTAACAATACGCATAAGTCATGTCTGCAGGTTGACCTACCGGTATAACAAACTACAGTGGAGATTGGATATAGTGACAAATCGAGTTCAGCGACAAAATTCTGTTGCCCAAGTCGTTTAGCAAGTCCTTTCTGTACATTATAGATCGGGTATTCCGACCTCGAAAATAACGACAGATCGAATTTACTGACACTTTTTTGGTGCCCGAAGACCTGAAATTGCATCGAATATAAATTATAACGACTTTCCTCTTGTATCCGGCGGAGTGGCATGCATGGGACATGTCTGTGTCACATGCCTGGACCTCTGGGTCACTCCACTCGTGCTGGTCATTGTAGCCGCAGTGCAGCGGTGTAGTTGCTATGCATGACTTTTGGCTTGAACTGTCCATGCAAGACACATGCACATACACACCTGAAACCCATACATATCTGCAATACATTTCCGTCATTTTGATAATGATACATATTGCATGCTAAATGTGAAGATTGGGTTTAGTGACGATCGAATATAGCGACATTTTGTTTTCTCCCGAAGGAGTGTCGTTATATCTGATCTCCACTGTACTGAGTACGAGGTGATCTGCTATAATTTTAATATGTAACAATTTTCATTATGTAACAAATTGAGTAAATTATGCACTCTTCGGGTCTGTCGAAGCCAACCTCAAATTTCTTTTTGGCCGTCTAGAGTTATCCCACCGAGGCTTCAGCTGACAAAATATTGGCGTCATGCAATGTCGGCAAGGTCTGTTGAAGCGAGCCCAATTCTTAGGAATTGGGTGAAATTTGTAAATTTAATATGTGAATGTTGACGTCTCCCAGGTCAGTCATCATGTGTATGCCCCTAAAATCGATAAAGCAATGTTACAAAGTGGTAAGCCTCTACGTTACGAACGCATGGTGGTGATACGTGGTTGGGAAATGTCTTTTGTATTCGACATATTCATTTGTTTATCAGCAGTATTTAACAGCGACTATAGTCTAGGAGCAAGGATAGCCAATAAATCCCACTGTTCTTTCTTTTCGTAGCTGTTGGTCACCCAGGCATTCGCCCATGCCACTCTTGTTTCGATAGAACGTCTCGCGATGATATTATTCTGATGAGCTTCGTACGAGGTCGATTGCCGTGAGACTAATTTTGAGTACTTGAGAAGTAGATCAGCACAACTTCCAGTATTCGTATCACCTATGCAGCCGAGATGTGGTCGATTCAAATGCCGTTTGACGTTGCAGCAGCCGGAGAACTAGTACCTGCACCTTGCCTATCTGTTTTAACAGGTCTGCGAGTGACATTCCCGGGCTTTACTCCATGTTACATAATAGTCCACCTGCTTTCATGGCCTCGAAAACACTGGAGGTAGACATTTTTCTTCTTCAGACACGGCCGACCAGGCCAGATTTTTGGTGAGGGCACGACAGAAGACCAAACTTCAATTTTGTAACAACAGTTGACACATTATGCTCCCGGAAAGTGCTTCTAGATAAAAATTATTAAAAAAAAGAATATTTACCACGTTTATACGTAATTGCAGATCACCTCGTACCTTGTACTCTGCATTCTTTATGATCTGAGTGCTATTTAGCCATTGGCCCCTATTCTGATTCATGGTTGTCCTTTGCTAACTTGGGAACTTATATTCTCCGACCACTCTTTTGTGTGTGTGCGTGTGTATGTGCGTGCGCGTGTGTGTGTGTGCGCGTGTGTGTGTGTGTGTGCTGCTGCTACTACTGCTCAGGTCGCATGTGCTTGCCAAAGTGTGCAGCTACTTCACGTACAAGGCAAAGTACACGAACAGCATTGCAGAGATCCCGGAGTTTCCCATTGCGCCCGAGGTGTCACTGGAGCTGCTGATGGCTGCAAACTTTCTCGACTGCTAAGCCTTCTTGTACAGTGTGTATGCACCAGTGTACATGTATAGCCAAATCACTCGCAACCCTCCTCGTTGGAAACCTGTTCCGAGTCTGTTTTATTTTTGCTGCTGGTCTTATAATGCTTGTGTTTCCCCTCAAGGCTCTAACTGCATAGGTTTCATCAGTTGTGTGTGCTGTCAGTCGTGGAGACTGGCTTGATTTGATTTTGTACAAGTCACTCGCAACCCTCCTCGTTTGAAAACTGTTCCGAGTCTAAACTTCCGATTCAGTTTTATTTTTGCTGCTGGTCTTGTAGTGCTTCTGTTGCCCCTCTATCTGCATAGGTTTCATCAATTGTGCGTGCTGTCAGTCGTAATGCTTGTGTTTCCCCTCTAACTGCGCAGGTTTCATCAGTTGTGTGTGCTGTCAGTCGTGGAGACTGGCTTGATTTGATTTTGTACAAGTCACTCGCAACCCTCCTCGTTTGAAAACTGTTCTGAGTCTAAACTTCCGATTCAGTTTTATTTTTGCTGGTCTTGTAATGCTTGTGTTTCCCTCTAACTGCATAGGTTTCATCAGCATAACTGCATAGGTTTCATCAGTTGTGTGTGCTGTCAGTCGTGGAGACTGGCTTGATTTGATTTTGCACATGTATTCCTGATCATTCTGTGTGGCTTGGTAGCCGCCACCTCTTCACTACATGCGCTGGCGTGGATTGCCGTGGTGTGGCCATGTTCTGCCTTCCGAGTTTCACGGTTGCAGAGGTGCCTATGCTCCCTATCAGGTGGGTGATCTACTGGTTGTGTTAACGTTTTTGAAACATTGTGGGCTACATGTCAACATGCCGAAGAGGAGAAGAGAAAATACATGTACAGTATGAGCAAAAAGGATAGACTACTCACATAGCATTCACACACATACATGTACACCCACCCACATACCCATGCGCGTACTCCTTACTTCACCCTCTCTGAGTCTCACATTAATATTTCTCACCTCCTCATTATATTCTTTTCTCTTCGCCCACCCCTGTTATTAGTTCACACTTCTCTAGTCTTTCGCACCTCACCTTCTTTTCTCCTATTTTCTTTCACATGGTGCATTTCGTACTCTTCCACGTATATATTGTTGTTTATTGCTAGATTTCATTAGTGAGACGTATTTTCCTGATGAATGTCTGTAGAAAACTTGTTAGGAAATTGTATTATCCATATTAATTTTTTTGTGTTGATTACTACGTCCAATGTCCGCTTCGCTGATTCTGCTGATTGCCATAATAGAGCAAAAAGGAGTGGGGAACCGTCCATTGAAACAATGAAAATCATTTCAGAGTGAAACAAAGGAAAGACAATCATGTAAGCAGTATATTGCTTTAAGTAATACATGATGTCTTTCCTTTGTAAGGTCAAGAGCATGTAACCGGTTTCATACAGCCAATGGCAGTCGGGTCCTGGAAGTCTTCAGACTTCACCATTGCATTGGAGTATGACACCTTCCATGTGATCAGATCCATCAAAAGCTGGACCAATTCACAATGATCACCATGACCACTGGAACTCGAGGCAACAGTTGGAGAATCACGACGGGATGGAAGTACCGTACATGCAACAGTTAGGTGTAGCAGGATCAGTACGTAATGGAAGCTGCCGCTCAGTCGGCACTGTTGCCCATGATGGGAGCGCTGGAGATCTGCAGCCGGTGTGGTGCGTCTGGCCGAAAGACCAGCCCTATTAAAAATTTGATAATAATAATAATAATAATAAAGTGAGTGGCATGTGTGGGGAACAAGAGGAGGTCTTTGGCAAGGCGGAGTGCGACTGGTTGCAGCAATGCCTTGAGGGCGGTGTTCAACTAACACAGTGTGATTTAGGCTGGAGAGAAACAGATGCATAGGCAAGAAGGTGAATATTAGGGCGGGTGGATGGGGCCAAGCTGTTGGTGATGGGGGGAGATGATTCTGGACTGGTGTGAGATATGGATGGCTGTTGCAATGGACAAGATTGGATGTACGAAGTACTGCATCACAGTTTCTTCATAGACACTCACTCACTCACATGTCAAGTTATCCTATCACTGGGCTCCATATACTTCATAGTGACCGGAAATAAATAATTTTAGTGGGTCACGACACAAGGGATACTAGATCTCCATAAACACACAATAAGACAGAAATTTGGTGGATTTCCCCTGATTTTACTAGTATTCAGTTTTCATCCTTCGAAGTAAGTCTGAGGGACTGAAAAGGGAGCAGTCTGAAGAAAATAATGACTGTCACCACCAGGACTCGAACATGGACCTTCGTTACTACTAGGACCACGGTGCTCTGACTACTGAGCTATGGTGTAGTTGCCATCCAGAGACCGTTAAACTCTTCATACTTTGAAACTCACGCTTCCTATGAAACTACATAGGCTGGTGGGATGCAGCCTTCACTGTACCCACACACTTCAGTTCACGCACCAACTAGTGCACGGGATCCCCAATTTTTTTTAAATTCAACGCATCATTGCACAGTGAGGAATCCGGCCACAAAGCCTGCACAAGCCGCGTGACACATGCACTGTCTGACTGTATATTATCTCGTTACCTTGGTGGACTGTTAGTCATAACTAGTAACTTTAAAAGAATGAAGTTGAAGACACCACTGCAGCTGTACTTATGGTTGATAAACATGGTGGTAAAGACACACCTGGCACTATGGCGGTAAACACACGCCTGCCCACACACGCTCTCTAAGCTGCAAAGTTCTGGCACAGAGCTCTCCTTCTCACCACCACCACCATCAGTTCGTGCCTGGCGCCTAGTCGCCATAAGTACAGCTGCAGTGGTGTCTTCAACTTCATTCTCCCGAGTCAAGCTCCGTATGAAGACATCCAAGAAGAAGATTGCCTGATGAGTCCAGCAGGGACGAAGCGTATGTCGCAATTGAGCTATGTCGTTGCTGTGTCATCTTCTATGTGCCATGCGCTACTTGATGTACCAGCCTGCTGTGTCGGATACCGCCAACCGTGCATCGACTAGGCGCCAGGCGCGAACTGATGGTGGTGGTGGTGGTGGTGAGAAGGAGAGCTCTGTGCCAGAACTTTGCAGCTTAGAGAGCGTGTGTGGGCAGGTGTGTGTTTACCGCCATAGTAACTTTAATATACAAAAAATTTGAGCACGGAGTGGTGCTTTCTTGCAGGTTTGCCGAGTGGACGGTTCGATGGACTTCTCCTGTGCTCTGGATGGCGGTCGTGAGTCAGTCAAGTGAGAATTCAAGTCGGCAGGAAAGACGCAAGCTCCCATGTAGGGAGCAACACACAATTCCCCAAGTATTGCCGAAGTCGCACCAACCTCTTCTTCATATAATTATAACATTTTAAATAATTATAATTTCTATTATGGTTATGCATTCTAGCGCTGTAGGAACATGCCAACAATTATGAATACTCTGAAACATGTAATTTTCGGCGAAACTTTAATTTTGGTGATTTCAGTGGTAGAGAAACCACACATAAATTTAAATTACACCTAGAGGCACTAGAGTATACACCAGCGTGTGAAGGGAATGCTGATCACCCAATTCTACATGTACGTGACCGGAAACCTGGCAGGTCCCTGGCACCGAAATTTTAAAGGGGAAGTTAAGGCAAAAATCAAAATTTCACCAGTTGTAGTCTTCGGGGTGCTGAGTCGAATGGTCTTGGTCCGAGAAAGCTGAGACGCTCCCTTCCTACTTGAATCCCAATCGAACTCGCGCACTTCCACCGAAACTGGGTGACTGCGCCCTACTAGATGGGGATTTGTATGCAAAATGTCACTAAAAGCGCCATTTCGTTCTTATAAAAGCACGGATGACCGCGATTGGCCCATATGTTGTAGTCTTTTGGACGCTGAGTCGACTGGTTTTGGTCCGAAAAGGCTGCGATGTAGCGTTCCTCCTTTATTCCCAATCGAACGTGGTTGAACAAGCGGTCACGTGCTCCTGGGTGCCCAAATCACCTGGTCACCACGCGACAAATTTCACACCAAGGTTCAACTCGAGTTCAACTCGAGTGACAGGAGTGCACCCAAAAAAGGTCAAACAGGCTAGTAAGTTGTACCCTGCAGGCACGGTGACCAGGTGACTGGTGTACGCAGGAGCACGTGACCGCTTGTTCAACCATGTTCGATTGGGAATAAAGGAGGAACGCTACATCGCAGCCTTTTCGGACCAAAACCAGTCGACTCAGCGTCCAAAAGACTACAACATATGGGCCAATGGCGGTCATCCGTGCTTTTATAAGAACGAAATGGCGCTTTTAGTGACATTTTGCATACAAATCCCCATCTCGTAGGGCGCAGTCACTCAGTTTCGGTGGAAGTGCGCGAGTTCGATTGGGATTCAAGTAGGAAGGAAGCGTCTCAGCTTCCTCGGACCAAGACCATTCGACTCAGCACCCCGAAGACTACAACTGGTGAAATTTTGATTTTTGCCTTAACTTCCCCTTTAATGCACCTACATATTTTACAGTACTCCCTGGTAACAGCACCTCAAGCCGTGAACATGGCGAAGGAGCTGCCTCGCATCCCCGCAGATACGCCCTTGACCTACAACTACATTATGTCCTACATGTAGTTTGCCAACAGGTTCAGGTTTCAGGTTGTCATGAACATGTCCAAACAAGCAGCAGACCAGTTAGGCAGTGATCATGGTGATCGGACAGTTTCATTGGATATTGCAAACAGATGTACACTCGGACGTCTCTTATCCGGGCAACTTGGGACCGGGCACGGCCCGTATCTCAGATTTGCCCGTATCTCAGGATAACTCATCTACCATGATTGTATCATATCATTTTTGAAGGAGTTTATTTGGAATGTATTGCACATGTTCAGGATTCAAAAGGAACCCATTGATAAAAACGTGTGGATTACACAGGTTGGCAGTGAAAAATAGGCACTTCCACCTATGGAAAAAAGTTCAACACCCCCAAATTCGAAGCATTTTTGCCATAGGAACTCAAGCTGAAGGTGCCCGGTAGAGAGACGTGCCCGTATCTGAGGCGTCCGGATAAGAGGCGTTTGAGGGTACTGACTCCGAATGAAATGCAAATTTAGATTTCTCTGGATCTCAACCTTCCCCATGTAGGTCTACCCTGAATTTGTCCAGCTAGCCTCTACTACTAGCTTCTATCAACTGTACATCAGATTGGAATGTTTCACCAAACTTATTCCTGCAGACAGATGCGCTACCCCATTATGATTGTTTCATTTGGGCTACATGCGAACTGTGTTTACCATTATTATTATTTTTTTGCCAACAAGGCAGGCAAGGCGGAACCAGTCTGGTGGGCAGGCCCAGACAGATTCTGCTCCGCTCGCCTCGATATTTTGTCGAGACTGGCACAAGAAACTCGATGCTCCGGAAAAACGTGTATTTTATCCACTTCCCGTACAACGTTTCATAAAAATCGCAGGGTCGGTTTCTCAACACGGGTTTCCACTGCACGTGTCCATTAGTTCTTCCAAAATCACGCCGGCAATTTCCCCGGCTTTGCCGGCAGGATCTCTCTGGGCCTACTGGTGGGTCAAGCCGTGGTTGGACCAGCATTTTTGGCCACCAAGGCACCAACACGTGTTTACTGCTGATGAGGTCATGTGTGTACCCGCCATATCCCCGCCATATCATACACAAAGTATGAAACTAAGTAAATAAGTTACTTGAAAGGTTAGGGTATGACCGGACCAATCAAAAACTACGTCCGCCGGTTCTGCAGGTTTTTTGATTTTAAAATCTTACAATTTCTTACATGATTGTACAGACTCAGTTACGAGTCAGTACTGGTGTAGCGCCGGGCACAGCAGCGCCGATCTGCGTGACGGACAGACTCCTGTACTGTAGTGTAGTGTGGCTAGACTAGAGTGATCGGCGTGAAACGCAGGAAGTGGAAGAGCTCTACCGTATGACAGTATTTCCGTACATTTCCGTACATGTTCCATCGTCCCAGGAACTAGGAGGCGATCGAGGAGCGGATTGCTGACGGCTGCCTTTCCCAGGCACAATCCTATGTCTTAGCAAAGACTTCCTTTCGAAAACTTCCTTTTCTCTCCATATTCGAAGGTCAGGCCGCGATGTGTTCCACTGAACTAACGCAACTAAAGTCGTTACTTCTTCGCACCTAGCTCTCCTCAAGTACATCTACGGAGCCCACACTGCAGCGCATCCTGACTTTCTGAGTGCTCTGGTACGGACGGTGTGGGTGTCATACCGGTACCAGTCCTGGTCCGCTGAGTCGTGGAGAGTCGTAGAGGAGAAGTAGAGGCTAGAGCTAGCTTGACTTGAGCCAAGTAGTTAGTTACTAAGTTAGTTGAGGGGTCTCGCGTGATACCAGCGCCAGCGGTGCGGCAGCTCAGCTATTATTTCGCTACGGACACCGGGACAGGGCAAGTCTCGACTCCCCTGCTGGCTTGATACACGGTCGGCGAGTTCCAGAATCCAGTGCAGAGTCGGCAACAGGTGTCCAGCTTGACTCAGCTCAGTGGCCCTGGGCAGAACACTGGTCGGGTTACTCGATAAAGTGGACAACGACGTGGATATCGCGGACAAGCCCTTGCTACAGTACTGTAGTAGCTTTCGTTCTGCTCCTGCCTGGAGCCAGTGCTAGTGGAGGCCACAGTTCTCCTGACTAGTTGCGGTGTTTTGGGGCGGGCCAGAAAAGCGGAAGGGTCGCTGAAGCCGAACAGTTCGCGGTGCTGAGTGACTGTTGGTGCTGACCCAGCACTGACAAGGTAGGAAACGTATGCGTCCTGCGGGGACTTGAATGATGCTGTCTTGTACTTGTAGCTTGTCTCAGTCTGGGGAGTTGTGGTGGTCCTGGTGTTACAAGCTTTCTTTCCTTTCAAGGACGTACTAGTACTAGTAGGTAAACAGGAAGCATGCAGTTTCCATTCGCTACGTGCTTCCGCACTCTGCCTGGTTCGTGCCTCTTGTTTGGAGTGATGATATTTTCGACTGTTCCGACAGTTCGTGTAAAAAAAGTCTTTTCATTTCTCCGCCTATTTCGGACAAACTAATTACTAGTACAAAGTCTTTGAAAAAGTTCACTTAAGTTTCAACTCTCGAACCCAGTTCCCTTTGAAAAGGAAATGTGTAACCTGTACAGTAATTTTCCCTGTAGGTATGCTCGTAGCTGAAATTCAGCTGGTGCCTATAAAGTGGCCCAGAGGTACTGAAAATTGCACACAATTGAAAATAATTACAATCTGCTGTAAAATAGCCCTGCACACTGCTACTTCTAATCGTACCAGGCTTTGTTGTGCGTGCTCTTCAGATGCGGCCCGCAGTGGCTGTCCTGTGGGTGCTTGGCGTCTCTACGGGCCTGGTGTATGCTGCACCTGCCAGCGAGGAGGGTGAAGCGCTGTTCCCAGAATACAGCAGCAATGCGGCTAAGAGTGGCGTAAGTCCTGAGGAGATGCAGCAACGTGGTAGTCACCTCGCCTATGCCCGGCCTATGTGCCGGGACCAGAGCCCGTCCCGAACTAGCTGTAACTCGAAACTGTCATTGTCTGCACTTCGTAGTACATACCGTTTGAGCATTTCTCAAGTTGGAAGCAGCTCTCAGTACAGTCAAATCCAGTTTACCAAATGACCCAGAGACCGTCCATGCAGTCGGTGGAGAAATACGGATCAGGGGAATCCGGACTAGCGGAGTGAGCTAACCCCAGCATGCATACACATGCACAGACACACGTTCACACGTGCCCGCGTGAACACTCTCTCTCTCTCTCTCTCTCTCTCTCTCACACACACACACACACACACACACACACACACACACACACACACACACACACACACCTTTGGACCTTTGGAAAGCCCATCGCCGAAGGCGATGATAGCTACACACACACACACACACACACACACACACACACACACACACACACACACACACCATAGATAATATCGTGATTGTCCTGTGTTGCTTTTCCCTCTGTGTATGCTCGATATCAGATGCAAGTTGCATTACTGGACTGGTTACGTCAGATGACATCCATGATGAGTCATACCATGGGATTAGACAAGACGGCACACAGTCCCAGTCCTGGCACCTATAGTGAGAGCACTGGTAGCCTCGTTGCTGGTGCCAATAGCACAGCTGGCAGCGGAGGCAATGGCGGTGGCGGAGCTGGCGGTGGAGGCAATGGCGGTGGAGCTGGCGGTGGAGGCAATGGTGGAGGAGGCAATGGTGGCGGAGCTGGCGGCGGAAGCAATGGTGGTGGAGGCAATAGTAGCGTAGCTGGCGGCGGAGGCAATGGCGGTGGAGCTGGCGGCGGAGGCAATGGTGGTGGAGCTGGCGGCGGAGGCAATGGTGGTGGAGCTGGCGGCGGAGGCAATGGTGGTGGAGCTGGCGGCGGAGGCAATGGTGGTGGAGGCAATAGTAGCGCAGCTGGCGGCGGAGGCAATGGTGGTGGAGCTGGCGGCGGAGGCAATGGTGGTGGAGCTGGCGGCGGAGGCAATGGTGGTGGAGCTGGCGGCGGAGGCAATGGTGGTGGAGCTGGCGGCGGAGGCAATGGTGGTGGAGCTGGCGGCGGAGGCAATGGTGGTGGAGCTGGCGGCGGAGGCAATGGTGGTGGAGCTGGCGGCGGAGGCAATGGTGGTGGAGCTGGCGGCGGAGGCAATGGTGGTGGAGCTGGCGGCGGAGGCAATGGTGGTGGAGCTGGCGGCGGAGGCAATGGTGGTGGAGCTGGCGGCGGAGGCAATGGTGGTGGAGCTGGCGGCGGAGGCAATGGTGGTGGAGCTGGCGGCGGAGGCAATGGTGGTGGAGCTGGCGGCGGAGGCAATGGTGGTGGAGCTGGCGGCGGAGGCAATGGTGGTGGAGCTGGCGGCGGAGGCAATGGTGGTGGAGCTGGCGGCGGAGGCAATGGTGGTGGAGGCAACAGTAGCGCAGCTGGCGGCGGAGGCAATGGCGGTGGAGCTGGCGGCGGAGGCAATGGCGGCGGAGCTGGCGGCGGAGCTGGCGGCGGAGCTGGCGGCGGAGCTGGCGGCGGAGCTGGCGGCGGAGGCAATGGCGGCGGAGCTGGCGGCGGAGGCAATGGCGGCGGAGCTGGTGGCGGAGGCAATGGTGGCGCAGGCAATGGTGGCGGAGCTGGCGGCGCAGGCAATGGCGGCGGAGGCAATGGCGGCGGCGCAGGCAATGGCGGCGGAGCTGGCGGCGGCGGAGGCAATGGCGGCGGAGCTGGCGGCGGAGGCAATGGCGGCGGAGCTGGCATGAGAGGCAATGGCGGCGGAGCTGGCATGAGAGGCAATGGCGGCGGAGCTGGCGGCGGAGGCAATGGTGGTGGAGCTGGCGGCGGAGGCAATGGCGGCGGAAGTAATGGCGGTGGAGGCAATGGTGGTGGAGCCGGTGGAGGCAATGGCAATGGCGGTGGAGCCGGCGGCGGAGGCAATGGCGGCGGAGCCGGCGGCGGAGGCAATGGCGGCGGAGGCAATGGCGGCGGAGGCAATGGCGGCGGAGGCAATGGCGGCGGAGGCAATGGCGGCGGAGGCAATGGCGGCGGAGGCAATGGCGGCGGAGGCAATGGCGGCGGAGGCAATGGCGGCGGAGGCAATGGCGGCGGAGGCAATGGCGGCGGAGGCAATGGCGGCGGAGGCAATGGCGGCGGAGGCAATGGCGGCGGAGGCAATGGCGGCGGAGGCAATGGCGGCGGAGGCAATGGCGGCGGAGGCAATGGCGGCGGAGGCAATGGCGGCGGAGGCAATGGCGGCGGAGGCAATGGCGGCGGAGGCAATGGCGGCGGAGGCAATGGCGGCGGAGGCAATGGCGGCGGAGGCAATGGCGGCGGAGGCAATGGCGGCGGAGGCAATGGCGGCGGAGGCAATGGCGGCGGAGCCGGCGGCGGAGGCAATGGCGGCGGAGGCAATGGCGGCGGAGCCGGCGGCGGAGGCAATGGCGGCGGAGCCGGCGGCGGAGGCAATGGCGGCGGAGCCGGCGGCGGAGGCAATGGCGGCGGAGCCGGCGGCGGAGGCAATGGCGGCGGAGCCGGCGGCGGAGGCAATGGCGGCGGAGCCGGCGGCGGAGGCAATGGCGGCGGAGGCAATGGCGGCGGAGGCAATGGCGGCGGAGGCAATGGCGGCGGAGGCAATGGCGGCGGAGGCAATGGCGGCGGAGGCAATGGCGGCGGAGGCAATGGCGGCGGAGGCAATGGCGGCGGAGGCAATGGCGGCGGAGGCAATGGCGGCGGAGGCAATGGCGGCGGAGGCAATGGCGGCGGAGGCAATGGTGGTGGGGCTGGCGGAGGAGATGGAAGTATGGGCAGAAATGATGGCCCGGACAATTTTGTGCTGGACCTTGTGGACGTAAGTCTTGTTGCTGCTGATTGCCACTCTTGGTGAATACTGTAAGACATGTTATTATAACGAGTCGCAAATTTAACGATTGTCCAAAATTCTTAGGTTAACGAGAAGATATGTTAACGATCTTGCAGTATTCTGCCATATCCACACACAGCATATATGAAGCAGTACGGCCTCAACGGATCTTATTATAACGAAGAAATGTCATCCGTTAAAACGTTAGATTTGCTTCCTCGTTATATATACATGTCTTACAGTAGCACATTGTGTGCCAGTACACAGTGTGTCTATACTAGCACAGGTGACAATGATCTTGCTTGCATGTCATGCAGTAGCGAAGGTGACAGAACTGGCCAACACCCGGTATTTGGTAATTGCAGTGGTGATGGAGGATTGGTTCATACCTCAGTTTGAATGGCCACCCCCAATCATTCTGAATCTGAGAATGCGAATTGCGATGCAGCCCAAGCACTGGTAAGGTGTATTAGTCAGTACTACTTCCTCCGTATACAAAAACGTTGCGACTTTTTTTTAAAGCTGCGCAGAGCTCTGGAATTGTTCCGTTTGACTTGGAGTAACACTCGTGGCATTGTCTAACCTGTTTACTATAGTCAGTTTCAAAAAGATTAGCAATCCTGGTGATCGCCCGGGGAGTTTGCCGTCTTACCGTATGAGCGCTCGAGCGCTGCCTGGAAAAACTCACTGTGAACTCGAAGAAATATTCCGCGCGAAAGCATGAAAAATGACAACTCACTGACGATCTTCCTCGCATCGATGTGGAGTCAGAGAGGACATGTCGAAAGTGTGGTAAATTTTGACGAGCGGGATACGTCCGTTTTGTGACCAAATAGATTCTTTGAGCTGCCGCGGACGCAATTTACTCTCACGATGTGACGAAAACGGCATCGACACAGACTCATTCCCAAGGCCTTGAAGTGGCAAAGTTATCCGTGTGACTTCGACGACATTTTGAGAAAGCAGACGCCTGTGAAAGCTGATAGAAGACGGCGTTGACTCCTAAATTCAAATAAATTGGCCATCTTCAAATACTAAAATAATTCTCAAACAGAAATCGATCGATCGCGATGTGCCGGTTTATTCAACAACACGTAGCTACAGCGCAATGACTTCCGTGTTCACTCACACGGTTTCAGTGTTGTGTGTGTTCACAACTTCACATGGCGTGAGCCAGTCATTCAAGTGTCAGTCAGTTCGGCAGGAAACGCGAGCTCCAACAACAAGTCGCTTGGCGCAGCCACCTTCTTTGTCTTGTACCAAAACAATGAAAAAAATTGAAGAAAAAATGTTTGACTTGAAGATTTGTTGGGATTTGAACTCACAACTTCATGGTCAGCAGACAGCATTGTAATGTATATATAACTGAACCTATCTATCTGTCTATTGCTTCACTATTCATTGATCATGCTGTAAGCCTACATGGGTAGTGTTTCACCCAGTATGACAGTTTGCCCTTTCATCAATCATCCTGGTCTGCTGCACACGATGCATGGATGCGTTTCCTTTGTTTTGCATTGTTTTCTGTATGCACGCTTTCAGTCTTATCATGCTATCGTTAGTTCCGGTATAGTGCGTTGTTGCGAGTCTTGCGTGCTGTGCGTAGAAGTCGTACCACCGCACTCAGTATCGCTCTAGCCCGATAATCCACAATATGCATCTGAGTTGGCTGTACTCAGTTGCCTTTTGGGAACTCTTGGCCATGAGTTCATGAGTAGTTCTTATGTTGTCGTTTTGCTCTCAACTTGTTTTCTCTCTCTCTCTCTGAAATGTTCTTCCCTGAATAACAACTAATTACTTTCGTACTGCCTGTTGGTCGAGTTGGCGTGCATGCCTGCGTGACTGAAGTTCCATAACATCTGGTACCGAAACCCGCTGCTACCTGGTGCGACTGTGTTGTCGCTTGGTGGTGGGCCTTGATTTGGAAATAATGTCGCTGAAACTCGATGGATTCCTGCGGACGTTCCGCGGAAAAGGAGATGACCTGGAGACGTTTTGGTCGAAGTTCCGTGTCCTGGCGGATATTCAAAAGTGGGACACGGAGGAAAAACGGATGCAGCACCTGCCCCTGGTCCTAGATGGCCAGGCGTTCAAAGTCTTCATGTCCATGGCGGAGGCGGACAGGAAAAAGGAGGCAACCGTGAAAGCGCTACTTGAAAAGGCTTTCGCGCCTGCACCTGCTGATTCTTATCAGCAGTTCCTGTCCCGTCGCCTACGCCCTGATGAGGCTGTGGACGGCTACGTTGCTGACCTGAAGCACCACTTGAGCTTAGCTGGCCACAAGATTACAGACGACAAGGACCCGGTCCTTTTGGAGCAGGTGATTTGCGGCTTGCCACCGACGTTCGCGCGAGACATTCGTTTGCAGGGTGCTGGACAGCCCCTCTCCGTCAGTGACGTGACAGAGAAGGTTCGCGCTTTGCAACTGGTTGAAAGCGCTGCATCATCGCATGCCATTGGCGCTGCTGCCACCGAACCAGCGAAGTCTTTGTATTGTTACACGTGCGGGAAAACTGGGCATGTCAAGAAAACCTGCCGCGCTGGGAACTGGGAACCCTCCACGCAGAGCTCGTCAGCAGGCCCATCTTCCTCGAAGAGCAGCCGAGTTCGTTGCCATCATTGTCACGAGCTAGGCCACATCCGGAGAAACTGCCCGACCAGGAGAACACGGGGCACTGCGTCTGCTGGTGTCTCTGACCAGCCAGGAGGAAAAACCGATTGCTGTTTGGCCCTGACTACATCATCGTCTTCCCTCACCCCGTTGCCGCAGATGCAGATGTTGACTCTGCTGATGATCGTGATGACATCCCTGCTATCATCCAAATCGACATGGATCCGCAGCTTGACCAAGCCTACGGACTTCGTCGACGGGCTGCAATCCGTCCTCCTCAGCGGTTCCGTGACTAATGTCATCAAGGGGAGAGGTGTAATGTATATATAACTGAACCTATCTATCTGTCTATTGCTTCACTATTCATTGATCATGCTGTAAGCCTACATGGGTAGTGTTTCACCCAGTATGACAGTTTGCCCTTTCATCAATCATCCTGGTCTGCTGCACACGATGCATGGATGCGTTTCCTTTGTTTTGCATTGTTTTCTGTATGCACGCTTTCAGTCTTATCATGCTATCGTTAGTTCCGGTATAGTGCGTTGTTGCGAGTCTTGCGTGCTGTGCGTAGAAGTCGTACCACCGCACTCAGTATCGCTCTAGCCCGATAATCCACAATATGCATCTGAGTTGGCTGTACTCAGTTGCCTTTTGGGAACTCTTGGCCATGAGTTCATGAGTAGTTCTTATGTTGTCGTTTTGCTCTCAACTTGTTTTCTCTCTCTCTCTCTGAAATGTTCTTCCCTGAATAACAACTAATTACTTTCGTACTGCCTGTTGGTCGAGTTGGCGTGCATGCCTGCGTGACTGAAGTTCCATAACATCATTCATAACCACTAGGCCAAAAAGGAAGGGATAAATCGTGGGTTTTGATAACAAATCGATACTGGCTTCCAGGGCAAATTATAAACCATGGGAAAAGGCCAGAAACCTGGCCGAAATACTAACTCCTTAACGGTTGGTCCAATTGTTCCGAAACCTTCACAGAACAATTTGCCGTGCCCTAACAAGCCGTTTTATGTACTTTGTTGTCCAGATTTCCCTTATCTTCATACTTTTTAAGACCTAAACTTGATTGCTAATCTTTTTGAAACAGACTGTAGCTATATACAAAGAAAAAAGCAACTCAGACGAATAGGATTGAGTTTTTTTCAGAGTCTTCATCGCTCATGTCATTGTCACCTGACAACGCTGACTCCGCATCTCAACAGTCGCTTCTTCCGCTCGCATTTCGTTCAGATTCTTGTCAGCTGCGGTGATGATCCGACGCTGGACTTTGGCTACGTCCTCTTCACCTCCAGAGCTGTGTACGAATCGGTGTCGACTATATTCAGTCGTTCCAACCCGCGACCTCCATTATACCGTAAACGAGTCGTACAAGCACATCCACACGCTTCGTCGCATTTTCTCGCCAGGATAATCCTCCCAGAATTCTGCAACGGCTTCGAGGAGGTCCCTGCGATTCCCCTTGGTGACAAAGACGTCTGACTGGAGACGTCTGACTGGAGAGAGGCGAAGAAAGCCAGGCCGACGGAGTCTGCGCTGGTTGCACGACGACTGAAATGTTTCATCTTGCCGTGCGAGCGGAACCGATTTATGTTCTCACGCCTCGAGACCTATGGGGCCGCGCACCGCAAGTACGAGCCTGGCCAGCTTCAGGGCAGCGAGTACCGTGTGACTCCGTGTTCCAGCCGCGAGCTTCCCTTCGTCATTGTGTCAGTTTCGAGCAAGTAATTTTAGTTTTTTTTCATTTGCTCTTGAGTTCCTGTCGGCAACGTCCCCACACGCATGGCTTCCGTGCAGAATCTGCTCGGGATCAACCAAACTTACCTCGACATGAATGTGGGTTGTCGATGACAGCCTTTGGCGCGGTTGGTTGAGCAGGTTCTTGCTCCAAAACACCGTTCAAAAAAAGTCACAAAGTTTTTGTGTACGGAGGAAGTAGTACTAGTGTGGCACGAGAACAAAAGTTGCAAGTATCGATAAGCTCAGTCCTACATAGTTATACACTTTAGGTGAGAGTGTGCATCTTGTACGTTTTGTACTGCTATGTAACGTTGCATACAAAAGAGGTCAGTCGATGTGCAGTCTCCATGGATCTGGAAGGGGTTTCATCCACCCAGGAAATGCTATACTGCTACTCTCTTGCTTGTTCAGTTCAAAATATCCAGGGCAAGATAATTTTGTAGAGGTGCGTATTTAGACCTTACGAGATCATACAGTGCTTTCAGACATGAGCCGCAGAAATAGCTAACACTCCACAGTGGCAAGGTCTAGTGATGACCCTTTACTGAATTCTGAGTGAACGGACCAAGTGAGATCCCATATTAAAATAATATCAAGCTAGATTGTTTTTCATCCTGGATCATGAATGTTCAATGAGAACACTACAAGCAGATGCACTCCATAGCAAGCCCTGTTGGAGTTGCACTCTTGGGAGTTTATGGCAGTAGTGATGAAGATTTGCTCCTCGTGTTCGTTGTCGATCATAGCAGATCAAACTGTGCCCCATGGTCCATAGTAGTGGAACTGCTTTCTGCAGTATCATTGGAACAGAGTCAACAGACATATAATTGAAGTGTGTGCCAGTGCCGCTTTGTCCACCACATTCAAGCAAAACCTATACTTGAGTGCCCTCAGACTGTGTTGTGTTGTGAGTCCTGGCATGTCTTATGTGTCATTAGACTGTAGGTGGGACTTGCCTGCATAATACTCGCTGATTAGCAAAGACTGAAGTGCACAGAAAGTGGGCTGCATGCTGTATTCACTCAATTATAACAATGAATGATATGCTAACGATTTTCTGTGTGTAAAGGGTGCAGCACACTACACAGCTGGAAGATAGCCATTCACTGTCACTGCCTTGGGCAGTGGGCATGTTCAATGCTGAAAGTCAATGTGTGGAGCAGCCTATGCCGTGCTTACTGTGATGAGGCGCATGAAAGTGCATGTGCCCTTACCCGGGTATAAGCACACCCTCACATATAAGCGATCATGGGGTGACAAGTAGATGAACTCCCGCAACACACTAACACCACCTTGATACCATTGTTACCGGGTTCAAACCGTGCAGTTTCCACTGTGACATTCCATACTGGTAACACAATTACAACCCCATTATGTGAGACCAATCGAGATGCAAAAAAATGCAAGTAAGGTAAAACTCGTGCATACGCGCATGGCCCTAAATGTGGGTCATTACGGTACCTGGGGAGTTGCTGACCTATATCTGTGTTGTTCATGTGCTTGCAGAATGCCCTTTCAAAGGTCGAAGAGAGTACCACTGTGGAACTAGCCTGGGGTACTACCGTGGCTGCTGCTGCTGCTGCCGCTGCTAGCAAAGAGCATCTGCAGTGGCTGACACTGTCTGAAGGAAAACAAGCCGCTGCTGCCAGTGTTAGTAACGCAGAGTCTGCCGGCATAGTGTGTTGCTGTCTATCATCTGACTTCATTTCTTTTTTAAAGAGTACCTATGTAGGCTGCTGTCGGTCTCTAAAAACAGATGTTTGGACTTTGGAGCTTGCACTGAATTTAGTCCCACGCCGGGTTTCGACTCGAACCGGAATTCTGGTGCTGACGACTCTGATGTGAAACAGTCCCCCTTCTCCACAAAATTGTTGACGGCTGGAAGTGAAAAAAAGACATTGGTGGAACAGAGAGCCTCGGAATAGACTAGAGTCCCTGCTGAAAACCAAATTCTATTATTTACAGCTTCAAGAAATGCATCGTGGCAGTAATTAAACCACTTTTTTGCACCACTTTTTTGCACTTCAAATGGCCGAACGTGGTAGATCCTCGTCAGCTGTTTCCATGGAGACACCGGCCAATAAGCACTCATTCTGTTGAAGGCGTGCCGACGAACATGCACTTCGTTTTTTAGACTTTTCTTGAATAGCTGGAAATCAAAACAGTAGGTCCTTCCTCCTCCTGCCTACAGTGCCTACAGTCAGTTACTTTTGAAGTAGGTCTTGTGAGCAGGTTTTAAGACCTCCCCCCCCCCCCCCAACCCCCTCCCAAATAAAGGGGTAAAATCATGCTATGCCATTGCTACCATGCATTGAAAAAGACCGTAGACGAGCAGCTCAAAACTAGTCGAAAAATGAGAACACGCAACAATTTGCTTTGTGGGCTAACAACAGAAGCTGGTTGTGTAGATTATGCAAAATCCATCTACATGCTTACTCGGGCCTGTATATTGACAACCAAATACCCCTACTTTCAAACTGGAACTATATGCGCCGAATACAGTGAAACTTCAGTACACCAACTATAACGTACCTCTAAGGGCCGTACATGGAGTAAAGTTCACGTGTCCAGCTATACAATTTTGTTTGCAAGAACAACCAAAGGCATGTAGGAGTTTGGAGATTGACATGTGCCATAAATCTTACTGTCTTCTTTTTCTGCTTTTCCGTTCAGTCTAATCTTGATGAATGGCTGGAGTCTCTCGGCTGGAAGACAGCCAATAATCTGAGAAGAATGAAGGATGGAGACGGTGACAATAGTGGCGGCGGAGGTGATGGCGGTGATGGTCCTGGCAACGGAGACAATGGTGGTGGTGGAGCTGGCGGCGGAGGCAATGGCGGCGGAGGCAATGGCGGCGGAGGCAATGGCGGCGGAGGCAATGGCGGCGGAGGCAATGGCGGCGGAGGCAATGGCGGCGGAGGCAATGGCGGCGGAGCTGGCGGCGGAGCTGGCGGCGGAGGCAATGGCGGCGGAGCTGGCGGCGGAGGCAATGGCGGCGGAGGCAATGGCGGCGGAGCTGGCGGCGGAGGCAATGGCGGCGGAGCTGGCGGCGGAGGCAATGGCGGCGGAGCTGGCGGCGGAGGCAATGGCGGCGGAGCTGGCGGCGGAGGCAATGGCGGCGGAGCTGGCGGCGGAGGCAATGGCGGCGGAGCTGGCGGCGGAGGCAATGGCGGCGGAGCTGGCGGCGGAGGCAATGGCGGCGGAGCTGGCGGCGGAGGCAATGGCGGCGGAGCTGGCGGCGGAGCTGGCGGCGGAGGCAATGGCGGCGGAGGCAATGGCGGCGGAGCTGGCGGCGGAGGCAATGGCGGCGGAGCTGGTGGCGGAGGCAATGGCGGCGGAGCTGGCGGCGGAGGCAATGGCGGCGGAGCTGGTGGCGCAGGCAATGGTGGCGCAGGCAATGGTGGCGGAGCTGGCGGCGCAGGCAATGGCGGCGGAGCTGGCGGCGCAGGCAATGGCGGCGGAGCTGGCGGCGGAGCCAATGGCGGCGGAGCTGGCGGCGGAGGCAATGGCGGCGGAGCTGGCGGCGGAGGCAATGGCGGCGGAGCTGGCGGCGGACGCAATGGCGGCGGAGCTGGCGGCGGACGCAATGGCGGCGGAGCTGGCGGTGGAGGCAATGGTAGCACAGCTGGTGGCGGAGCTGGCGGCGGAGCTGGCGGCGGAGGCAATGGTGGCGGAGCTGGCGGCGGAGGCAATGGTGGCGGAGCTGGCGGCGGAGGCAATGGTGGCGGAGCTGGCGGCGGAGGCAATGGTGGCGGAGCTGGCGGCGGAGGCAATGGTGGCGGAGCTGGCGGCGGAGGCAATGGTGGCGGAGCTGGCGGCGGAGGCAATGGTGGCGGAGCTGGCGGCGGAGGCAATGGTGGCGGAGCTGGAGGCGGAGGCAATGGCGGCGGCGCTACTGGTGGCGGTGCGGATGGTGCAGGCCACAGCACTCCGTCATCCACGGCCTCCCCTGCCAGTGCTACCGCAGGCAGTGGTGGCCATGGCAAGACCAGCACGGCTCCAGCTGCTACGACCAGAAGTATTCCACAACGCGATCATTGGCTCTATTCCTCTCAGGTGAGTGCACAGTCTCTCCCGTTTTCAAAAATCACATGCATGCATGCGCTAACCCCAAAGTACGCATTTGTCTTTATCGTTCTGCTGCCTAGACCTGTGCATAGAAAAGTATCAATGGCATGAGCCACATTTCTTTTTTTTATACTATTGCCATCATAATATTGGGCATCAATGCCCGTTTGGTTTGCGATGTAAAATAAAACCTCAAACAAAACATGGGTGGGGACGTTCATTTTAGGCTGTGTAGTGTGGTGTTAATGCTTTTATCCTACACAAGTTGCAGGTGAGAGTGTTTATTTGAAGACGTGTGTTTCCGTAGTTTGAATCAATGTGTTGTCTTGTATTCTGTACTGTGTTTTCACTCAGCGTCGGACTGTTAACAATGGTCCGGCACCCAAAACCTGCTCACCCGGAACCACGAGCCGTAACGAGTGTGGCGATAGCTGCACATGCCAGGAGTCTGGTAAGTTTTGAAATCACAACCAAGCTGTCCGCGTCACGGATTTGAAAAATACAGTAAAAAAACTGTGTTTGCTGGATCCTGTACCAAGTGGAATCCTGTATTGCCTTGACAAAGTGTCATGCACCAAAGTGCTGTGGATTGAACGTGCATCCATTGATCAAGCGGTCGTATCAGAACAGTTCACATATTTAGGTGCATCTCTTGTCTGTCTTTATAATTATTAGAGCTTATAATGTAAACCGACCCGACTACGTGTTTTTGGTTATTTGCCGTGATGTTGTTGCATGCCATCATTGCTTGGCCAACAACATAAATTTTCAACTTCAGCACAGTGTGTGTACTTCAGTATAATAAACGAGTCCAATTGAAAGTTGAACGTTCACAGCATACTGTAAGGCATGTATATACAACAAGGAAGTAATTCAACGTCTGGCAAGAAGAAAAATAATGAACAGCACTCTGCGCCAGCACGCTTTTCCAGCGGCCACTGTGCCCTCGCACCCATCGATGACCATGTGCAAAAATCTACAAAGAACATTATTTCTCGCTTATTTCGCTGCGTTCAGCCAACGAGAAATGAACACGTACAGTAGTTCTTTCTGCTACTTTATATCCATTTGACTGCACCTTTTCTTGTTTCTCTCACCTGAATGCCTGCGCAGGTCATTGGAAATGCTGTCGGCGTCGCCGGGAAGTCCTGCATGTAACCGAGCACGCACCCAGACTCATGGCGGCATGGATGCGAGCAATGGCTGATGTTCGATCCTCACCCAAGACCGCAAAGGCATACCGGGCACTAGTGGAGGCGCACAGTTCGAATTTTGCTAATCACATCAATCGGCCATCACAGTCGTTGCCCTGGCACAGATGGCAGCTGCTTCAGGTCAGTATAATTTATACATGGGCTGAGTGTACGTGTCTGCAGGTTCACTGCTGTGTTGCTATCATGAAACATCTGACGATCAGTTGACTGTACGTACCAACGTTTAATTTTTTTCTGAAGTGAATTTGTGAAAAGCAGTTTAAGTGTGAGTGTTGCTCACAAGCCAATTTGTACCAACCTGAGTAACTTTTTTATGCATGATATATTTGGATTTGGGGTACAGATTAGCAAGCGAAAACACACACACACACACACACACATCTGTGTGCACACATACATGTATCTGCATGCACATCCACGCACACACACATGCACACACGGAAATGCTAGTTCAGTGTAGCTTTACGACTGTTTTCTGCCATTCTCAAATCTTCATATCAATTAAAATACGCAGTTCTGTTCTGTATCTTCATGCTCCGTTGTTTTAGCTTGAAAATCTACTGCATGAGGTGGCTGGCTGTGAAGTCTCCATGCTTTATGTTGACTTCGGCAAGATTGCGGCTAACTGGGATACCAGCTTGATCTGGTCCAATGGCCGTCTCGGTGGTTCGGGTGACCCTGCAGCAGACAGCTGTATCAGCAGGGGAACATTCCAGCACGCCGCATTCAAGCTGACGTCCAACGCAGCTACATGTGTGCTGACTGGTCCTGAGAAGTGCTGTCTGCAGCGGAATTTTAGCACCAGCCTGCCATTCCTGTATGCAACCCAAGTTGAAACTCTCTTGCGCACGCCACCCTCCGAATATGCCCGGTTTGCTATCGCTTTGGATGTGAGTTCGAAATGTCCTGTATTCATTGAACTTATGGCTTGACACTATGAAAAAACATATTCGAACATCGAGGCCCCAGAAGTGCAACACAGTGCATGAGTATCTCTCCCTTGAGAATACTACACATCCTCATATCTGGGGTCTATGCATACCAGAGAAACACTTAGAACAGAGACCGTCAATAGCCACTTTTCTGGTCTTTGCTAGTGCAAGTATTATAACCATTAGCGGAATTGACTTATCAAATAGCAAACTATGTTGGGCCAGTTTCTGCTGTACGAAGGTAATTAGGAAATCTCCACTCTTGCCATGGATGATATCAGTTTACAAAAAAAACTTGGAACTTGGGAGTGGTATGCTGGTTTGGGTGCACCATATGCGCCACATCGAAATAATTTGCCCCACAGCTGAGTGACTATGCACGAAAGAATGCACAGGACGCACATTTGCCTCGTGACTTGTGTTGCATGGAGGTTGTACTCAGTGTGTTGCATGGAGGTTGTACTCAGTGTGTTGCATGGAGGTTGTACTCAGTGTGTTGCATGGAGGTTGTACTCAGTGTGTTGCATGGAGGTTGTACTCAGTGTGTTGCATGGAGGCTGTACTGACAGCACTGTACAATGCAATGTTTTGTTCTTTGCTCGACTTCCATCCAGACTCTTCTGGCATACCCGGCCCACATGAACATTGGTGGAACGATGAGAAGCAAGGATGCAGCCCAAGCTCCGGAGTTCTTCCTCAACCGTGCTTACGTCGACTATGTGTGGTGGAGATAGTGAGTTGTGTTGATTCGACATGCTGCCTTCACAGCTTCTTTGAACGAATCATACTGTCGTACAGTACTGCCGGGCGTTGCATAAGGAAAATATGGTACTTGACGTCTTATTTCTGTGCGGACACACTAGGTGAAATGGCTCTCTGGCTGTTAACTTAGTACACACCTGCCCACATGCGCTCTCTGACTAGCAGAACAGGAAAAATTACAACCTGGCAAAGAGTTCACATTCTCTAACCACCCACATCACTACCAATCCGCTCAATCCTGGTGCCTAGTTGATGCATGGTGTTTGAAGAAAAAACGGGGTGCACCAGTTAGCTCACTTGGTTAAAGATATTAGGGACGTTTCCCACTTTCCGGATTTATCCATGGCAACATTCAAGCCGCGCGAAACGCAATGTACTTACCACGTGGAAAACAACATGGAAAACGCTGTTTCGATTCGTGGTGCATGTGGTGGGCGCATGCAGCCAACACGTCTCCAAAGCAACAGGCATGCTTAGCAGTCGTGGGGAAATCACGTAGAGCGAAACACAACAGCGCTGATTTTTACGTATGGAAATTCAGTGCAGTTCCTACGTTAATTTCATACGTAATTCCGTAGAACGAAACCTCCCTAAAGTCAAATGTACATGTAAAGTCAAATGTACATGTAAAGTGTAAAGGCTTTCTTGCCCAGTATACATGTCAGGGATCGATTTACTTTGATTTTTTTGCATAGCAGTCACTGCTACACAGTTTTACAATTGACTAGCAACTCCCAGTATTGATTAGCAGTTTTCCTTCATCAAAAGTTTACATGTATAGCTGTACAATAGCAGGATTTCGTACAGAAGAGGACAATAATAGCTGAAGTTGCTATTTGCTTTTCCAAGCGAATGTTCGACCTGAATATTTGCGTTAGAGTTTTCGCTTGGGCACGTTACATGTTCAGCGTCCATCCGTCTTCGAGTTCTTCACAACACAATGTCTTTCAACAGGGCAGTTCCACTGATTCCTTCGACAAAGAAACCTCAGGAAAGCGCTCAAACGATCGGGACATTTCGTGCAAAGCGCATCGAATTTCGCTTTTCTCCTTTTCTTCATCGAAACGAATCTACATTCCTGGCGCGTCCAGTTCTTTGTCCCTCTTCTGGACAGTGAATCACTGATCAGATTCACTGACATGTTGGCTACATGAGACTAAGAACCATCTACTTCAACTGTGCCTTGTCGAACAGAAACAAACTGAGCTTGACAGTGAAAGAAGAAAGGAGAACATCATGAAAAGTCACCGCCGTGTACAAAACTTCAGAAGACTGCAGTTAGGCCTCCGCGGAATATGCTCGTATTTTTACCGATAATTCCTTTGAGCATTGCTCAAATTTTCGACCGATTATTCCCGTAATTCCACCGATAATTCTCACAATAATGCTTTTTTTCTTCCCTTTTTTTGCAGATACCGAACCGCGTACGGGTTTTTTGCCACTTGTACGGGCAAAAAATCACGGTTCGCGTGAATTATGCATGAAACTCGGCTGGAAGCTTTTTTTTCTTTCTTTTTTGAAATACCGGGCGATCAACTTCAGGATCACAAGCGTTTTGGTACAAATCAGGGTGTTATAAATGGAAAAAAAATTGAAAAAAGGGGGGCATTGCTCAAATTTTACCGATTATTCCACAAAAATTGCCAATAATTCCCGTTTTAAAAATCACACCGATAATTCCCGAAATTATGCCGGCATATTCCGCGGAGGCCTAACTGCAGTCATGTACGACCAGTGCTAGTAGATCTACAGTGTCCAAAATCGAAAGAGCGCGATCCGCGAGTCCGCGACCCGCGCGGACTGAGCAGGACAGGCCAGTTGGTTGGAGTAGTAAAATACTACTCCCTAGTCAGCAGTGTGTACAGCAGTCGCATATAGACTGCACACAACTGGTCTATGTAGTGCATCGCAGTTTTGGGCGATAAAAAACGAAAAGCGAATCGCAGCCAGTGAATTTTGATTCGCAAACTGCGATGCGAACCCGGATAAATCGATCCCTGCATGTAGTCTTCACGACGGCGCTCTATAAGCCATATTTCCGTGATGAATATCTCTAAAAAAAACTGGTTAGGGAATTTTATTATCCATATTTTATTCTTGTTGATTACTACGTCCAATGTCCGCTTCGCTGATTTTGCTGATTGCTATAATAAAGTTATTGTCTCCGCGCCGCCTATTAGTATAAGTGTGTGAAATAATGAAATTACATGTACTTTTTCCCGTTTGTGTCTTTCCCTCAAACTAGTGAAAACTTTTATGAATATTGGTTTAAAACTCGGATGTTCAGCCAATAATAAATGTAGAAAGGAAGAGGACATAATGGTGTGTGTATATAGTATCTGGCTACAGTGATGGAGAGTAACTCTTACCTCGTATCCATATGTCCTCTTCCTTTCTACGAATATTGGTTTCTTTCTGGTTTCCGAATGTCTCTCCATTCTTGGAATGTTGTTTTGCCGATATAGTTTGCAACAGTCTGATGCTCATCGGGAAGCAGCCATTCGCTTCTACGGTGACACCATTCTAAATTTCACCATTTCTGGGAACAATGCATATCCAGACATGCCCGGCACTGCAGCTGCTGGAGTTAGTGCACATAGCATGCTTGTGCCTGGTAAGCTGATATTCTTGATACTTCTATGTCTATCTCTGTCTGTCGCTCTGTCTCTCCTTCTCCGTCTCTCTCTCTCGTTTGCCTCTCATTTGTCTCTGTTTCTGTCTCTCTCGTTTGTCTCTCATTTGTCTCTGTTTCTGTCTCTCTCGTTTGCCTCTCATTTGTCTCTGTTTCTGTCTCTCTCGTTTGCCTCTCATTTGTCTCTGTTTCTGTCTCTCTCTCGTTTGCCTCTCATTTGTCTCTGTTTCTGTCTCTCTCTCGTTTGCCTCTCATTTGTCTCTGTTTCTGTCTCTCTCTCGTTTGCCTCTCATTTGTCTCTGTTTCTGTCTCTCTCTCGTTTGCCTCTCATTTGTCTCTGTTTCTGTCTCTCTCGTTTGCCTCTCATTTGTCTCTGTTTCTGTCTCTCTCGTTTGCCTCTCATTTGTCTCTGTTTCTGTCTCATGCACAAAGCAGTACTGTAGGTCCATTTGCAATGGCTCCGCGACTCCATTAACTTGAGTACCTATTTAGCTTGCATCTCTCCGTGTTCCTCTTTTATTCCAGGCTCGAGTGATGTATGCATTGACTATCAGTGGAACCACAAGGCATACGAAAATATCCTAACTCGCCGAGAGGTATGTGGCCACCAATGCACAGTACATGCACATATGGAACTTACCACCTACTTCCTGTAGTAGGGATCTCAGCGCATGCAATGCGCAGGGTGTTTGCGCATACATTGCGTCATCGAGTTTTGAGTGCAGCTCGCGGACACAGCTACAAAAATGGCGACGGTAGATTTTCGACACTAGCGGAAGCGGTTGACACTAGCGGAGTCGTCATCTTCATTGTCGTTCGAACCCATTGTGATTCCCGCCAAAGGACAGCGTGGCTAAGGCAATTTTGCCCCGGTCGATTTCCCTATAATGTGCCATGCGGCAAGAACCCACTTCAGAGAAGATTCAGTGAAAAATTCAGACATTTTCTCCGGTTAGATTGTCCTAACTTCGATTTTCAGTGCATCAGCCATCGTGAACATTGCCGCCATTATCACACAGAGAAAGACATCGCAGAAGAAGAGGTGTTCACGCTGCGTCCAAGAGTGAACTATTGTGCTCTTTGACCCTCCATAGTTCCTCTGAGAGAGTGTCTGGGAGATAGGTAGCTTGGAAATGGTGTCTTCTTCAACTGATTTATTTCCAAACAAATGTTCTATTTCATGGCTTCTGCACTGGACGCGTTTGGGATCGAAAATCTCACCTGCGCAAACTGGCTGCGCAATTCACTCGCTGAGATCCCTACCTGTAGTAAACTGTAGTGGTTATTTTGCAGTGCTATCACACACACACACACACACACACACACACACACACACACACACACACACACACACACACACACACACACACACACCGTATTTTACCGGCTGTAAGTCGACCCCGGTTACAGGTCGAGCCCCGTGTCCGGAGGTCTCAATTATTCTAACCACTCCCTGCTACTAACACATAAACAAATCATGTAAACATTCCTTATTGGAGCGTATAACGTCCCAATCCTTGAAAAAGGCCAATATTCAATAAACTGGCAAAAATGTGTACACATGGTGCACTCGTGCATGCAGTGCAGGTCATTTTTTGTAAGATACTTCCTCCGGAAACAAAAACTTCGTGACTTTTTTCACTAATTTTCGCTGCTGTTCGGTCGCTCTCTGATTGGCTCTGTTGCCTGAAACACCAACAGATGACATTTCCGGACTGTAGGTAGGCATGATTCCCATTCTGGAAAGCCGACAGTCATCGCGAGGCAAAGGTGTCGTTGTCAACCAAGCAAAGCGACGATGTTTTGCATTTTTGTCCACCAGGCACATTGCCAACAAAAGCACTGCGCTCACTGCTTGTCGTTGCTAGTTTGGGTTTAGAATGAGAGAGCAGACCAATGGCACTGAGGAGCAAGCAGAGTGTGAAAGGGATAGCAGCTAGTATTTTGACATCTGCGTCATCCCCAAAACATCAGCCAAAGTGCAAACAGGTCGGCAAGATGTCAAAACTCCAAACGCAAAGATGTGACACCAGCAAAGCTAAAAAATTCAAAATCGAGTCGTCGTTCAGTGGAAAAGCTTGCCTTTTTCAGCAGCCTCCATTCCGATGTCTCCTTGGTAGCGTAGTACTAGGAGAACAGGCGAGATCACCTCGCAGCAGTCGTGACGTGACAACTACAACGCGGAGAACATGCGAAATCTTTGGCTTTGCCTGTACTCGTCGTTCCGGGGCCTTCTCTCGAGAGGCAAGGCGCTACCAGAGTACAAGCGCCATGGCAGTCTGCACCTAAATGCTAGGGAAGGCCAGGGTGTAAATATTGTAGTAGTAACAGCGAAGGTGATCAGGGACGCGGAGAAGCTGCTCCGTGACATGCGAGAACGTGTCGATCGACCTGCCACTTTGGTTGGTTGCAGCCGTGATGAATCGAGCGATGGCGACTCAGACTCAGACTGAGACTCATTCCCATCAATCGACCTTGTAGATATTGTACACATGTCCATTGAGCGTGTTGAAGTGTTTCTCTTCCAATAGAACACTTTTGTTGAGCACAGTAACTCCTTGAAAAGTATGTGAAAAAGTCACGAAGTTTTTGTTTCCTGAGGAAGCATATGTCGAATCCCGGTTGTAAGTCGACCCCCACCCTTTCTCCTATTTTTAGTCGACTTACAACCGGAAAAGTACGGCACACACAGTGATTTTTCAATAAGCTTCAGGAACAAAAAAACAGTTGGTTCTGCTGCACAACGCCACCAGAACATCACCACAATGACACCACTGTAATACCACTAATGTTAACAAACATCTAATTCTAACGATTTAGTTAAAAATTCGTTAAAACATTTGAAGTCGTTATGTGCAAAACTATATGAATATGTACAGTCGTTTGCCGGTTTTGAGACAGAATTCGTTGGCATTTCACCTCGCTAACCTAGAAAAATCCGGAGAGTTGTTAATTCTGCATCCCTGACAATCATTGGCAAGTGTTTTGTCCTCTGTTTTGCCTCCAACCATCAGGTCGACAAGTTAAGTCTGGATGAGCAGTGGGAATTCCTGGAACACAAACTGCTCATTTCATCCACAGCACATCTGTTGGGAACCCCAGGAAAACCACAAGGCTCGTGGAGGTAGGTTTCGCCTTTAAACATGCAAGATACAATGTGTGTGACTGCTTTACAGTCTTACTGTAAAATAACCTAGAAATTGTCCATCCCACCTCGAGTAAACTTGAATGTATTAAAGTGAGAAGTGCTACAATCATTGATTGAATGCAGAAACTTTGACCATTCCGCCATCCGTACAAAGTTTCTTGGAGCCAAGAGCCAGTGATCGTGGGGTTTTTTTTTTTAGTGAAAGTGGCTGTGTTGCATTTTGCAGACCATACTTAGAAGTAAGAACAAAATCTTGTGTCATGCTATCTAGGTGGTGTGCTCAGCTACAAGCATTCTGTTTTATCTCCAGAACTGTGTGCTTCTGTGTGCACGCGCGTGCAACATGATATTCCAACATTGGTCTTCCTTTGTCTTGCTGTCTCCCTCCTTTTCCTTGCTAGCAACCTGCCACAAGCGTTCAAGTTGTTCAACGCCCCTCTGTGGGAAAGGATAATTGCTTTCAAGGTCCTGAAGAATTCTTTGCAGCTCAACCAAAATAATCACACCCTGAATGAAAACAATCTACTTGACCGGCTTTCCGGCTTGTACGTTGAGTCTGTACTGGTCCGTTGAAGTGATGCCTAGGAATTTTCTTTATGGCTGCCTAGTAGCCTGGGCAACTAGTGATTTGCGTTATTTCCCATCTCAATGATTTTCTCTTCCTCCCTGCATCAACTCTCCCTTCCCTGATTTGGATTGATTTCGATATTTCAACTTAGTCCAGCATGTTGACAACATGACTGTTTAGTAATTGGCCATTGTATTTGCTGAAATTTATGAGAAAATCTTAACTCACCAATAAACTTCAAGAGAATCTGCTTGAATACATGTACCCCAATCTCAGTCCACGCATCACTGTGACTGGTACTGTATCGAGAATGTCCCATCAGATGGGGCCATCAGATGGGGCGTGACATGAGCGCACCCTCCTCAAGCCCAGGCACTGTCTTCTGGATTTTAAACCAACCCCTTCGCCAAAAAGGACACTTTTCTGATGCCCCGCCGGGGGTCGTTATACGCAAAGTTGACTGTATGTGCTTGCATTGATATGCCTTGGGTTTCTTTCCTCAAAGGAGAAGTGACAAGTGCATGGTACGTATATGCATAGACCGTTGAAGTTCGTGTGAATGCATTAGACGCACACAACACGTGCCCGGCACTTTATATCTAAAAAAAAACCGTATACATGAGCATGCGTGCGCACACGTGTGTGTGTGTGTGTGTGTGTGTGCGTGTGCGAGGGGAGGGGGGGGGGGGGGAGGTATACATGTACGTATGAAGAGCAGAAACCAGTGCTGATAACGCAGGCGAAGCAGAGAGAACGCAAAGCAGACAATCACCTCTAATCTTCTACAAAAATTGTACCGTATGTCAGCGCATTTAAAGCCATGGCCTTATATTCGAAACACCGCTGCTTTCCTAGATATATTAGATGCAAAATGACTCACCCACTACGCCATGCCATAAAAGTCAAAGTCCACACAGAAATTTCAATCTAAATCCACTTGTTCACCCGTCCTGCTGGGCTGTAAGTTTGTTAGCATAGTACTTATTCCTTCATTTTTACAAAACATACTTCAAATGTCATTTCATTCATGAAGCCCATGGCTTTATAACCGAGACTGGCTTTATAATCGAATATACCACCATGGCTTTAAAGGTGCGGACATACGGTAACACATAGCATCATAAGCAGAAAACGAGATATTGTGAGCACGACAGACAGACTCTCTCTCATACACACACACACACACACACACACACACACACACACACACACACACACACACATCACACATCACACACACACACACACACACACACACACACACACACACACACACCACGAGACCATAGATCTGAAACGGCGTGCGTTTGACTTGCTTTAGAAGGCCACGGGTTACGTGATCCACATCAAGGCAATACGCACCACCAGCCCAGCTACATGTACCGATATCTCATACTATACAGCAACTGAACGCGGCACACATACTACACACAAGAGCGCGTACAACGGCAATGTTCTCCTTACACTTACAGTCGTCGAACACACCGAGAGACACAGAGGAACACAAACTAGGCCCTAGGGTCTACAGTGTACATACATACATGTGCATGTACAGTGTATACACAGCTATGCATTTGCGTGTTTTCATGCTCATTTGAAAAGGTTTATGTACCGTAAAGTGCCGTTGATCCGCCCCCACTCTAATTCCCGCCCCCTGTCGATTTTCTCCTTGTAAAGCGACTTCGGCGTATACAACGAAATACGATGTTGAACCGACGCATGCACTGCTGTACACAATACTTGCCAATCCAGGATCAAAATGTGCACAATCCAGCACATTGAGTCTGATCCTCTACGTTGTTGTACATCGTACTGCACTTGACAGCCTTGATCTAATTCCCGCCCCTGCCGAAAACCCAGCTGGGAAGCGACATGGCGTGGGGGCGGATCAACGGTACTTTACGGTATAATTATGGCATGTATGGTTTATGTTGTTTGAGTACCTCCACTTTGAAGGTCGAAGTTGGATTATACAGGGCGTGAACAGGTGAGATTTTTATGTCTAGTAGTTAATTACCCTTACCTTAGCCCACCAAAGAAATCGGAATAATCAAACTCGATGGTGCTCCAACTTCATTTCGACGTAGAAAACTCGTTGTTTGAACATCTAAATTTCAAAGGGTAACCACTGATTTCGATGTGAAAAACGTTTCCTGATCGCCATAAAAAAATTCCCTGCCGACACACACCATAACAAGCTCCAATTTCACAAACTGTGGCCACAAACGGTTGCTCGTCATGAAGGTGGTTCGACACTTTCGACCAAATTCATTCACTTCCGTATTCAGTTGACAATTATTTTTGCCGTCATCAAGACTAGGGTGCGTTCTTAACCCTTTAAGAGCCACAGGAAATTTTCAAAATTGTGCATTTTTTCGTGTTCTTTGGATCATAGCTTCAGTTCTACTCACTCAATCCTCACAATCTAGGGCTTCCTGGAAAGGTCTCCGCGAGGGAAAGAGAATGAGGTCGATCATGATAGCCAGCACACCGTCTATCCAGCGCTAGATCGCAGCGACAGTACGAAAAATGCCCCAAATGCGTCCAATTGCGTCCCGCTCCAGATATTTCATTTTACTCGATCGTGGAGTTCCAATTTTTTCGCTGTGTACTCTTGACAATATCAACAGTGAAACCCGTGCAAATTCGAGTAAGCCAGCTTGACGAAAAGTCTCAAAATTCTCAATACTAAAGTCGCACTGCGCGCTTTTGAAATTGCCGCGATCGCGGCTCAACTTACGAGTGATTTATCTCAGGAACCGTTGCTCGCAGCGCTTCGCGGATTGTTTCTCCCGACAGGTGAGAGATTTCTCTTCGCTCTGGATATTTCGATCACTGGATTTGAGCGAGATTGGACTGAGTTACGATCTTTTGGAGTTTTGCATTTGAATGCGTCGTTTACGACGCATTCAAGTATGGGGCGGCTCTTAAAGGGTTAAATTCTCTAGCTTCTGGGAGAAGAAGAAAAGAGAAGTCGAAGAAACTGGGATTCTTCAAGAACGGGTCTCGAAGAATTCGGAGATATTTTGCAGATGTCAAGCAAAATGAAGCGCCAAAGGGGCCGCGATCTTGAGTGCCACGAATATAGTATGCGCTGTGCGTATGCGAAAAGGGAAATGCGTACACTCATGATCAACACGTGGCTTTTAGCCTAGTTCGCATGCGCTGATCCCAAACCGCGGGAATCTCCAAGTTTCAACCACCTCTGAAGCTTGGAGAGCTTGAAGAGCTTTGGAGAGCCTCCTAAAATTCGGAGAGGATATAAGAACAGCTCTCGAACTTTTCGGAGAGTCTCCAACTTTTCCGAGAGGATTTAAGAACGCACGCTTATTCGGGCCTAAAAGGGCCAAAAGTGCAAAAATCAGTGTAAGTCTCGATTAGTGGGCCATGGGAGAGATCTGTTTTTTGCACGCTTGAGGATGGACTGATTATCATGATTGTTATGAGGCCTTTTTGAAGTCAATGTTGAGTCACCTCCACTGCGCTCTTTAGCCGACTAGACCCTCCTGCACACAACCATCACCTTTGCGAGGACACTTCCATAGACGATATTGATAAACTCCTTCAGACAGCTGTTTCGCTAATACATGTACATAGCTCATCTATGATCAGTGAAGGTAGATGTTGAATACAATCATAGAGGTCTGGCAGGACTTTACGGCTGAATCAAGGCCGAGTGCGTACGGCCAAGGGCGCAGGCCAAGGCGCGTAGCGCCGAGGCCTGCGCCCGCGGCCGTACGTACAAGGCCTTGATGAAGCCTTGAAGGCGAAAAGTCCCGTTTCTATGGTTGTAGCCAATGAGCGACGTTCCCGCGGTGGCCTTGATGAGCCGATAAAGTCCGTGGTCAATGGATACGGAAAAATACGGTAGCAATAAAGCCCGTCGTCAATGGCACCCCGTACTCTGTCAGCCTAGCTCTGCAGCCAGGGCAAGGGTCTGTGGCAGTTTTTCGTTGTCAGCTCAGTTCACACATTCGACTGTGAACATGCTCTGGTACCTGGAAACAGCCTGTCCAAAAACGGCAACATGAAAAGTGTCTACACATCGTGGTCAGTTTTCAACTCAAAATTATTGTTGTCGTGAGTGGAGATGAAATTTTACGATAGTTGTGAATAAGCGAAAGAGCATGCACCTATCTATCTGCTAAGAAACAAGCTGAAATAAGTGGCAAACATCGCGATCAGTTTTCCACTTTCTGTTCTACAAAAAAAAGGAGTTGACGAGTTGCCGAACCTTTCTGATAATTTTGAGGAAGCGAAAGATCATGGACCAAGGATCATCCCATCCATGAGAAGCGGACGGAGCTGAAACTCACAAGCTGAATCCACCACGTCCCCCGGCGACCGCCACCCCTATACATGTCTTGCCTTTATACCAGAAAGGCGAAAGACAAAACCTGAAACACCATCATAGAGGTCTGGCAGGACTTTTCGCCTTCATCAAGGTCTCGTGCGTACGGCCGCGGGCGCAGGCCTCGGCGCTACGCGCCTTGGCCTGCGCCCTTGGCCGTACGCACTCGGCCTTGATTCAGCCGTAAAGTCCTGCCAGACCTCTATGATTGTCTACTTATTATTATTATTATTATTATTCGGATGTTGAGCCATAAATAAATGTAGAAGAGAAAAGGACATATGGATACGAGTTAAGAGTAACTCTCCATCACTGTAACATGATACTTTCAGTACTCTGTCAGTTTTGTGCCTAGTTATTGCACTTTCTGACTGTATAAAGTATCATGTTACAGTGATGGAGAGTTACTCTTAACTCGTATCCATATGTCCTTTTCTCTTCTACATTATTATTATTATTATTATTATTTATTTATTAGGGCTGAAACGATCATTCAATAACTCCTAACGATCAACCAATATCATTAACGATCGATATATTGGTTTTATCGATTCTTGTCGGCTCTATCGAACACCAGTTTGTGAAGAAAGACTATGATGCCTTTGCTGCGTTAGAAATTTGTGGCACCGCACTGTTGACATCTGTAGATATCTGGCTGGTTTTATCAACATGAACTACTCACGTAGAGAAATTTCATGTTGTTTCTAGAGTGAAGAATCTTATCATCACCCTCTGGCAACTGCTCTCATCTCCGACTTCTCCCACAAATGAAGCGAAAAGGCAAAGTCTTCTCTCCCAAACTCTTTCAAAGCCACAAATCAATTTTACTGCGCTTGAAAGTACATGATTGCACTCGTATCCACTATCGGATGGAGTGTAAGGGCTAGAATACTGTCACTAATATTATTATTACGAAGTAGTGGTTGCGAGTTCGGCGATGATTTGTAAGAAAGGTTTGCTCCCCACACCGGAGCTCGCGCGGTGTGGGGAGCAAACCTTTCTTACAAATATTATTATTATTATGTGTGGATTCACAGGAAGTGTGAGTTACGAAGTCTGAAGAAAATGTTGAACAGTCTCTGCTGGGATGACGACTACACCATAGCTCAGTGGTTAGAGCATCGCTAGCTACAAGCGAGGGTCCCTGGTTCGAGTCCTGGTGATGACAGTCAATTTTTTCTTCAGACTTTTCCCGTTTGTCTCTTTCCCTCAAACTAGTGAAGATTATTATTATTATTATTATTATTATTATTATACGCATTCCCGCGTTGAAGTGTAGCAGCAGTATGCTGCGTCCACAGCTTCGCTTACGCTTATGCATGCATAAAAAATCGATAGCACTCGTTTTGAACACTAACGATTATCGATTGCACTCTTTAACGATCGATATGCGAGTTATCGGTATAATTGTTTCAGCCCTATTATTTATTCATATTTTAATAGGGCAGTCCCTTTTGTTTTCGCCTTTCTGGTATAAAAGTAGAACAGAAAGTGGAAAACTGATCGCGATGTTTGCCACTTATTTCAGCTTGTTTCTTACTCTTAGCAGATAGATAGGTGCATGCTCTTTCGCTTATCACGGTCACAACTATCGTAAAATTTCATCTCCACTCACGACAACAAGAATTTTGAGTTGAAAACTGACCACGATGTGTAGACACTTTTCATGTTGCCGTTCATGTTGCCGTTTTTGGACAGGCTGTTTCCAGGTACCAGAGCATGTTCACAGTCGAATGTGAGATGTGAACTGATATGAGCTGACAACGAAAAACTGTCACAGACCCCTGCAGAGCTAGGCTGACAGAGTACGGGGCGCGGGGTGCCATTGACGACGGGCTTTATTGCTATCGTATTTTTCCGTATCCATTGACCACGGGCTTTATCGACTCATCAAGGCCACCGCGGGAACGTCGCTCATTGGCTACAACCATAGAAACGGTACGGTAAAAACCTGAATCAGCAATTACATTGTAGTACTCACGGCAAAAACATTTTTGAGTAGGGAGGTTCTGCTATACGTGAAACGTAGAGAAATCACGTAGAGAGCAGGTGTCTGGGCTAGAGTCTACGGCTTCGCGTGTTTTGGCTCCAGATTTCTACGCGGAGATGAGGTTCTCTACGTTGTGGCACACGCAGAGAAAATGCGTACGATCTGCTGGGTATCATTCGAGTGCAGGCAGAAAACTGCCAAATATGGAAGGGGGAATTCCCAGTACACATTCCACGTGACTTCTCTACGTGAAACGTAGAGCAGAACAGGATTTCTTTACGTTACGGGAACGCGAAGAGAGTTCGCGTGATTCTTTGCGTCGCGTTCCCATAACGTAGAGCAGAACCTCCCTCGGCCCTAGCCCTAGTGACAAGCGCGTGAACGTGAGTAGGTCTACGAGTACGTCTTGTTGACGTCTACGATTGTAGATCGTGATTCGTGACGTGTATAGTAGATCTCCACGTGTGACTCGACTGGCGAGTGTCAACGTCAGCAAAATTTATTTGCTTCGCTTCGTGAAGATTTCGAAAATACCCGAGATTACAGCTGTTGCAGGCCAGCTGTCCTGGAATGTGACAGGACACTCCTGAAGTTGCTGAACTGTTTATAAGCTGGTGAGAGAAGGGGAACTGCTACTTACTTTTGGGTACTGCTTCGGCACGCGTGGTCGTGAAGCCACTGCTGTTCCTTGCTGCCTGATTTCATCGAGCAAGGTTTTCAACTGAACTAACCTCCATCCATTGCAGAACGCTGCGATACGAGTCATCATCAACAGTAAGTAATAGTTTCTCATTGAAGTCCGCTGAGCTTAGCGCTGCTTCTTCCAGTACATGCATACACGTACACGCAGGCTTTTATGTGTGGACAATTATTTTCAAAATAATTATTGGCGCGAAAACGAACAAACTCTTTCTGCAAAATGTGCGCATGACCTTTTTGCTAGCTGCTAGTCTAGCTGTGCATGCGCGCAAAGTAGTCAAGCGAAAACGAACAAACTCTTTCTGTAAAATGTGCGCATGACCTTGTTATTGCTAGCTAGTCTAGTCGTGCATGCGCGCAAATTAGTCCATTACTTCCCAAAGCTATGCAAAATACGTCACTTTAGTAGCTGCTGGCGCTAGCCAGGATCCCACCGCTTTATTGTGTGTGTATGTGTGTGTGCATGGTGTGTGTGTGTGTGTGTGCATGGTGTGTGTGTGTGTGTGTGCATGGTGTGTGTGTGTGTGTGTGTGTGTGTGTTTGTGGCGTCGGGCCCGTCATCACGTGACGCGCCATGCCTGGCGTGCTATCCTGTACACGTCCCATACCGTACTGTAAAAGAAAGCGGGCCACATATCCAAATACTGTAAGAGTTCAATCTCTAACGGGGCACAAAGTCTAGCGTTTCAACGAGAAAAAATCCATCGCTAACTCAAGAAACGTTACATGTACAGTCAGTATCGCCTATAGCGTTGGTGTTTGATTTTGAGCATTTATCACTATAAGCGATATATTACTATGACCGATACTGCATGCAATGTATCCGAGTGGGCCGGTGTCAAACAACTCAGCGCGCCTTGCGCATACGCACTGCATAGCTGGCTACAGCTCCTGACACACAACATCAGCATTTCCTCACTATGGAGGCATGTGCGGTCAACTTATACAAGCAGAACTCACCAAACAACACTGGACAAGTAACATAATTATAGACTATAGTTCTTCAGGAAGAGGTAACAGTGACTACTAACACCCTGTTCTCCTCTGACACCACTTGATTTTACATCAATCCCTATATTAAACCAATGCAAAAATAATGTAATAAAGGTCTTTTGAAATGTGAATTTGATCACTATAGGCGATATTATTACTATAGACGATTATTACTATACGCGATAACTGTGTATACTTAGTTATGGCAAATGAAAATGAAATTGATAAATTGATCACATTAGCCGGTATAATTTATTACTATAGCCGCCAACCTTATAGGCGATACTGACTGTGTGTCACTCCAGCTCTCCTCTGTACTAGAGAAAAACAGAAGACAGATGTGTGGTGGCAGGGTCGTTAAACTTTGTGCCCGCCGAGTGGGGAATTTTTGCGAATCGTTACACTTTAGACTCGTCAAACTTTCAACTCTTACAGTAGTGCTTTCAACGACAAGGCCATAACATGAAGCAACTTGGTAGAATGTGTATGTATGCGAAATGTATCGAGGGAATGCATGCAGGGCGGTATAGTGCAGGTTCGAACCCCATGTTACGGGTGGAAAAAATTTCAAAAAAGAAGAAGAAAATAGCTAGCACCAATAGCACCTACAGGATTTTAGCTAGCACCATAGCACACATATACAAAGATATCGAATTTCGACGCGCAAACGAGGCGCTCGATGGAAAAATAAAACAGCAGAAGCACCTGAGCACAAGCAGCCCATCTCTGACGAAGATCAGACCAAGCTGAGAGCATATTTCAACTGGTTTCCTTAGCTTTCCTAACAATCCCACGTCAGTGTCCGAGTATGTTTGGTACTGTTGCACATTATAACTTTGCACTACGTGGATCAGAAGTCCAAGCATTCCTTACTAAGGACGATCTACAGGAGGAAAAGGCCAGGGATGGCAGGTCTTACTTCAGGCGTTCTATTACCTACTGCTCAAAACATCGTCATTCTTCAGACATCGTCTCTGACGGGTGTATCACTGCACCAAGGGATGTGGAAGATTACTGCCGACTTCCTAGCGGCCCTTCTAGCAACCCAGAGTGAACTACAAGCCAATAGATTCCCTGTGGTACAATGGAAAACCCATTGGGACGAACGAGATTGACAAGATGATGACCAACATCGGCCGGTAAGCGAGACTAAGCAAGATATACACCAAGCATTGCATGAGGGCTACTACCGTACTATGCTATGTGAGAGCTGCATGCATTTCAGATAGCACTATTATGCGCACCACCGGCCACCCAAATCGCGAAATGCCCAGTCTCTGATGAGCTACAACCAACACAAGAGCGGAAAGCAGCCACAGCAAAACTGCTGGATACGTCGGCACCTGTGACCCTACCAGCACTTCCAGTATGGCCAGTGACCTTGAAATGGATGACATCCTTGCGAGCTGCACAAACGACGAACTGCTATCCCTGGACAAGCCTGCCGTCCCTCCAGCTCCACTGTCTATCGAGAAGCCTGTCGTCCGTCCAACTCCACTGTCTATGGAGAAGCCCGCCGTCCCTCCAACTCCACTGTCTATGGAGAAGCCTGCCATCACTCCAACTCCACTGCAGCCCGACCAGCTCACATCACCACCTGGAGCAGGCGCCAGCAGTGTGCTCTGCGAAAACTTCAGCGGGCCAGTTAGTATTTATCCGCAATAGATATAGAGCGACCGGCCCCATGTAAAAATATACTGCAAGTTGCCCAATATTTGCGTCACTAAATTTTCGTGATTTCTCAAAACCAGCGAGTTCACGATGGAAAATGTTCACGGAGCACTGTGGCCACACACACACATACGCATCACGGAGCACTGTGGCCACACACACATACACATACTGTATTACATCCACTGCTGAAGTTTGATTTCACGATGGCTAATATTCGCGTTATGCTCCTCTCTCGAAAATAGTGAAAATCACTACACCTTCAAGGCTTGCGAACATCAAGTAGTTAACAGTATCCCCTAAAGCCAAGCGAACAAGATCATCAAATGATGCGTTTCCGGTAGGGGTGAAACGAGTATCTATTTTGACCAACCGATCACTCATTCATAATGTTCGACCGAGTATCCGATTATTTCGAGTATTTTATCAAAATTCGAAAGCGCTAGATTTGTGAGTTCTCGACCAATTCGGAAGAAATTATCTGTGAACATAGAACAAAAGTCGCCAACGTCTTGTACAGAGTGTAGAGTAACGATTTTTCACCAGTACTTTCATTATCTCATAACAAACTAACGTTACTTGCCGTGGTGATCGCATCGTCGAAGTCATGAAATACTGACTCAAAGGCATGCAAAACGCATGCATACCAGTCGATGAGCGGTACAACAGAAGTTTTTGAAAAATAGAATGCCAATACTAAAAAAAACACAAAAAAAAACAAAAAACGATCGAGTGCAAAATTTCGAATACTCGCTCGTTTGAAATTTTCGAACGAATACTCGAATATTCGAACTAATCGTTTCACCCCTAGTTTCCGGTCATCATCATTTTTATTCATATGCATATTTTTTGTAGTGCAGTCCCCGCCGTTGCAGCAGAGTTCAGCCCAGAGTCAAAGTCTTCACGGGCTATTCTATAGGCCATAAATAAGTACTTCCTTCTTCCCTTTCCTTTTTCGTGCAGTCCGCACACGCCATGTGCCATTCATCACTTCGCATGCATATTATTTGGTCTTCTGTGGACTGGTACATCGGTGGGCTGTGTGTAGATCTACGGTGAACGCAGAGTGCATGTTATGAACCCAGTAGGGTATATCCTTGAACCCGGCGGGGTATATTATTGCTGAATGCACCCCGCTCAGAACTGCCGCTGATTGGCTGAAATCGACCGAATCGTATCGCACCAGGGGATAATGTGTGTATATGAGATATGAGGGTCACGTTGGGGAGCCCGCTCACCCAACGTGACATTACTCAGCGGCTTCTTTGGGTTGTTCCGCTGTACGCTTGGATTCCGTTTGGGATGCCTGAGCGATTTCCTGCGCTAGCTGCGTGAAATGCGCATGAACCTTGCAGGGCGCGGTGGTTGTTTTTTGGACACCTTGCAGGCGCGTAGCCCGCATGCGGCACGGGGGGGGGGGGGGGGGGGGGGGCACAAGCCCCCCCCCCCCCCTAAAACTTTCGACCTAGGTTCAGCATGCACATAATGACCATGAATGACATACACCAGCCATCCTACACATATGCGGCTGTGCACCCCCCCCCCCCCCCCCCCCCTAAAAGGGGGAACAGCTACGCCCCTGCCTTGCACATTGCTGCTCTCTTGACTCTTCCTTTTTCACTCAGCCCTCGGCCTGTTCTACACAAAGCGCCCGAGGCATCGTGGAAACTTGTAGAACGTCGTAGTGTGGGGTTTTGCACGAAGCCTAGAGTCACATTTCCAGGAAGTGAAGCACTTCCCGGAAATGTACAACGCGAGAACCTACCTGACCAGGTTCCAGCGTTGGATCACATGATGTGCCATGCCAAAGAGGTGTGCCACCTGCGTGAGACAGCGCATGTTGCTCAACCTACATGACAAGCACTTGGGACTATGTACTAGCCAAACCAATGAAACCACACTGTACTAAAAGAACGCGAACGTGACGGCTCAAAAGTTCAAGTCAAAACAGAGCTGTTGGCTACGTACATGTAGATCCTGCTGTCAGAGTGCTGTCAGGCAGCAGCAGTCTGAGTCCAGGGACGTGACACATTGTACCACACTTCTCCGGATAGGATCATACTATACCGTATACGTGTAGATAGCAGTTTAGTGATTGGTGTCTTGTGTGTATGTGCGTGTATGTGTGTGAATGTGTGTGTGTGTGTACAGCTGTGTGGTGGATACCAGGCTAAAAATAGTGGCGGTCAATTCATCAGCCTTGCAAGCTGTTGAATGGTGTAATCCCAGCACAAGTTGCTATGTCTATCATAGCTGTTCGCTATCATCGCTTCCGCGATGGGCATGTCTGAGGTCTGAGGTGTGTGTGTGTATGTGTGTGTATGTGTGCGTGTGTGCGTGTGTGTGTGTATGTGTGTGCGTGTGTGTGTTTGTGTTTGTGTGTGCGTGTATGTGTGTGTATGTGTGCGTGTATGTATATGTGTGTATGTGTGTGTATGTGTGTGTGTGTGTGTGTGTGTGTGTGTATGTATGTGTATGTATGTGTATGTATGTGTGTGTATGTGTGTGTATGTGTGTGTATGTGTGTGTATGTGTGGGTTCAATTCCCGACGATTATGGTCGCACACGTCTTTCTTCTCTTTCTCGGACTCTTCCTGACTTTTCTTTCATTCTCCTGGTTGGTTACCAACAGCTAGTGTATGCCGGAGTATGTGGTGTGGTGTGTGTGTAGAAAAAAATTGGAAAAATGAAAAATAGGGATTCACTGGCCAGAAAAAGTCACTTCAAACAGCTGTGTGGTGGATACCAGGCTAAAAATAGTAGCGGTCAATTCATCAGCCTTGCAAGCTGTTGAATGGTGTAATCCCAGCACAAGTTGCTATGTCTAACATAGCTGTTCGCTATCATCGCTTCTGCGATTTGCATGTCTGAGGTCTGAGGTGTATGTATGTGTGTGTGTATGTGTCTCTGTGTGTGTATGTGTGTGTGTGTGTGTGTGTGTGTATGTGTGTGTATGTGTCACTGTGTGTGTATGTGTATGTGTCTGTGTGTGTATATGTGTGCGTGCGTGACTTTGGACAGTGAGTATTACAAGTGCTGCTGGCGACCTACTGGAGCAGCTGCGAGCCATCATCGCCGGTGGTCGTGAACCATCCGTGCGGCCTGGCCCACAGCTCAACTCATTCAATCTTGAAGGCGTTGCTGAGCACATCAAGTCAGGCAAATGTACGTGCACTTTGCGTTGTTCTCTTTTTTCAGTGGCCCAACGGGTAGGCCATATATCCGAGCACCCGCTCCCTAGATGACCTACCCAATAGTAATCGGGGTACTCAATACCACTTGGAAGTTAACACGTTACGCATTTCAACCTCTTATAGGGAAAGTGTTTGCAGTTCAGGCAAGAAACACGATTAGCCAGTACATGAACTGTATGCGTAGGGCTCCCTGAACCGAGTGAACTTGACTGCTACCTCTCCCCAAGTTCTACTTGTGCTACATGTACCGTAAAGTACCGTGATAGCGCCCCGTCCGCGTCTTGCAAGGGCACCCGACCTTGATTTTCACAGCAAGGGAAATCGAGTGCAGAGGGGGGCTATTGTGTACGACGGCTTGAGAACCGTGGTGTACTAAGGTGTAAGGTCACACTTACAGTTAGGGCTCAAACGGTTAGTCCGATTAACCAGTTGCAGACCGGTTACGAAGAATTAACGGTTAACCGATAAAGATAACGGTTAGGCGAGACCAAAACGAGAGAGCTTGGAAGCTCAGGGCCCTACGCTATGCTTGTGTGCCTTGATGACCTAGACAAAAAAAGAATACGGATGTTATAAATTCATATAAATTTTTCCTTTTTTTAAAAGACATAACCTGGGATTCGAACCCGCACTATCGCCGTGCATGCATCCCCCGATACACTTCGCATACAAACTAATTCTTCCAAGTTGCTTCACGTTATGAACTTGCATTTGAAAGCCCTATTTGAATATGCATTGTGGCCAGCCGTCTTTGATAGCACGGTACGGGACAGGTACGGGACAGGTACAGTCGATGGTAATACGACACCGTCTACCGCCTTGATGACCAGGCAAAAAAAGCATAGAGATGTTATACATTTTTCAATTCTCCTATTTTTTTAGCTTAACCTGGGATTAGAACCCGCACTATCGCCCTACATGCATTCCCCCATACACTTCGCATTCATACTCATTCTACCAAGTTGCTTCACGTTATGATCTTGCGTTTGAAAGCCCTATTTGAATATTGCGGCCAGCTGTATGTGGCCAGCTGTGTTTGATGGTACGGTACGGGATAGCGCCAGACGTGACACAAACACACAAACACCAAATTAAAGCTGTGTGGACCCTGGCTAGCGCCAGACGTTACTGAAGTAACGTCTTCTGCATAGCTACGGGAATAAAATCGAGATTCCCGGGCAGGACCCACGTGAAATTGGTGCGGGCGGGCGAATTTTATTCTTTTATTTTTTTCATGTATGTACATGATTATGTGTGCATGCCATGTTGAACTTTTTTTCCAGCATTTTCCGGTAATTTTGATTCATTTTTTGCAGACAACAGGTACGCGGTTTACCCGTTCAATTTTTCTACAAGTATATTTCGGCCAACGATGGCCCTGATCTGTACATCAGGGAGCCGTACAAGCTCGGGTTTGTGTGACTCCACGTCACAGATCTACTCACACGATCAGTACTGTACATGTACATGTATGAACTGTTCAAAAAAAAAAAAATGGCTTTGGCTCGATTTTGGTGCGGGAGGGCCCGGGAATCTCTATTTTTTTTGGTCTCGCCTTACGCAATAACTTTTCAGTCAATTTTTCAAGTATCAGGTCGTTGCAAAGTATGCACTTTCGCAGGCTGTCGCACGCGTACGCAATTTCTGGGCTGTCAACTTGGTCATATCTGGTCTCTTCGTGTGAGAGTATGTATGAATGAGCATGCAAGAGAATATACATGTGTGCGTTGTACTGAATAGGGTACATTTTTTGAATAAATATAGCCGAATATACAGTTAAAAAAGAGTCCGCAGGATTGCCGTGGCTTATAGGTTATAACCGTTAAACCGACCGTTAGCTTAGCAGTTAACCGTTGGGGGTAAAACCGTGACCGTTTGAGCCCTACTTACAGTGCGTTTCAAATATATAGACGCGTGATTTCAAAATACCGTTAGGCCAGCATCTATATCACATAAAATCTGTGATCACTTTGTGCATAAAAAGTTCGAAATTGGGTGTTTGCTATCCGATCGCTTAAAAATCTATATGAGAGTAATTGGGGGAAGGACCTGAGCAATATTCCGAAAGAAATTCTCGAAAAGCTCCAGCCAAATTTGAAATATTTCAAAAATACCATGCGTCTATATTTTTGAAATAGACTAGCATGTTCTTGTGTGCAGTTCCAAGGCAATCTGAGTGCGGATTGACTGCACACGGTGCAATGTGTGTGCAAGGTACGAGTCGTATGACCTGCAGACAGGACACCACTTGTAAACACGACCAGAAAGGGGAGTAAATGGTGAGGCGCTCTCGCGGTATTTTACGGTAGTACTAGTCACCACTATTAGACTCAGCTAGCTTGTGTTCTTCGCTTGGCACATGTGTTTTATAATTCTATTCAAAACACCGGCCAGTGAGAGTCAGCGCACCGTATCTGATTCCGTGTGTGTAATTTGTTGTGCTAGCCACAGTACATGGGGACACTCCGGGTACGTATACTATCAGAGGACTAAGCATAACCTAATAGTATCATAATACACAAACCCTGGATGTGAGTGTGATTGTGGTGTAATGCATGGGCTTATAAGGTACCCCAAACCCGACCCGTTAGTGGCGGGACCCGGCCGATAGCGTATAGGGCACCCGTTTGACCGCTCTTCTTTTTGCTGTTGTTTTTGTTTTCGAAGGCAGGACTGCGATGATGCTCCTGTGCTATTTCGCTCTGGAAATTGAAATCCTTCGGGATATTGACGAATTGTGACTCTGTAAATGTAGCTGTGTACCGGTAACAGTGCGAGGAAAGGAATGCATGCATGTTCAATGACCAGGTCACAGTACACATGTTCAATGACCCGGTCACAGGACACATAATCATTGCATGACGACAACCTATGACAAGTGGGTGGTGGTGCTAACTTGGCAACAATCGTCTGCAGCTAAAATTCAACCCTTTTTGTTTTTTGTTTTCCTACAGGCAAGAACATCATCTTCATGACTGGAGCGGGTCTATCTACGGGTTAGTTTGAACGTGTGTTTCTTTCTCTTGAAATACGAGAGGCAAAGCTCTCCAAGAGTGTCCGTTTCCGTCTAAATTTTAGTTGGGGTCCGCAACGGCAGAACTTCAGATCAATAGGAAATGCGTGGGTGTTGTGTAGTATTGATGATGCTCATACTGGGTCGTGTGGGTACAACCCGCCAGCCCATTACGGCAACATGCACCTTGCTTGTATGAATTTGTGTGAATTTTCACGTAGTGCATGGTGCGTGCATGGTGCGTGCATGGTGCTTGCATGGTCTGTGTGTATGGTCTGTGTGTATGTGTGTGTGTCCGCGTTTGCATGTATGTGTGTACTTCTGGTGTGTGCGTATGTTTCTGGTATGATAACAAAAAAACAGAACTTCTTTATGTGAACACGCGTTTTACATTATTCTCCCCGTCCTCTTCCCCTCCTCATCCCTCTTCCTGCTGAGCATGTGAAAAGTAACACCTGTAGAGTAGACGGTTCGATACCGGAACGGCTTGACAGCCAAATTTGTATAGACCCAAACCGATCATCAGCGTTGATTTTTCACTCGAAATATGTTTGTGGAAGGAAACTGGCATGTTGAAGTTTGCTCTGGGGCCAGAGTCAATCGAACTGAGCCACTCCTTTGTGTTGACCCATTGCCTCCAAGTTGCCCAATGTTTCGCTTCAAAAAAAGTTCAAATCAGAGGTGGCTCCAAACCGGACACGTTTTAGAGTGCACGTCAAATTCACTCTGGGTCTGAAATTAGGTAATTGCTATCGCTCCACGACAGCCAGTACAGAGTAACAATAAGCCTTGTGTGTGCTTCCATTAGTTTTGATTGGTATGCGGTGCTTTATTGGCGAGAGGCGAGCCGCTGTTTACCTGCGACAAGAAGTTGATTTTTCGAAAGTCGTAAAACTCAAGTCGCAGTGCAAAGCAACACGTCGAAAACTCAAATGCTTGGTATGGCGCTTCTGGTCATCGCAGAGCCATGAAATTTTGACTCGGAGTATAACACATCGTAGTCTCACTGTGACATGTTTTCTAATCAAAATACCAAGAGAGAAAGTGAATATTGAGTCCGTTCCGGTTTGCAACCTGTGTCCTATTTGAAACCGTCGCCTCTACATGTGTGCACATGTCTGTATGAATGTGTGTTTCTGCACAGCTGCTGGCATCCCGGACTTCCGATCGCCAAACACTGGACTGTATGATCAGTTGCAAAAATACAATCTTAGCTCACCGCAGGAGATCTTCAGCATTGACTTCTTCAGGGTAAGGAGAGAGAGACTAGGGACCAATGCGGAAAAATACCGTTGCTACTTTGAAGTATAATTATGATCTGTGACTGCTACTTTTGCACACGTGTAACATTGTTAAAAAGAAACAAGGAAAACGGTGGGGCACACGTTATGCGTTAGAGTCCAGCAGCGAACCCGGATGTTGAGCAGTCAGATGTCTGGTTCTGGTGTAGTAGGTGGACTCTAACGCATAACTGGTGCCCCGCCGTTTGCCTTGTTTCCTTTTATTATTTTCCTTGGCTCACCATCCGAGTACTTACTGTCACATAATGGCATGAATATACTGACATACACATAATTCCCTCAACTAGTGAATATTTGATACTTTGGGGCTCCCCGCGTACTAAGTTAGTTTGTGCGTGAAGTGTGTGTGTACAGTGAGGCCTGCGTCCCACCAGCCTGTGTAGTTTCACAGGAAGTGTGAGTATCGAAGTCCGAAGAGAATGTTGAACGGCCTCTGCTGGGATGACCGCTACACCATGGCTCAGTGGTTAGAGCATCGCCGGCCTCAAGCAAACGTCCCTGGTTTGAGTCTTGGTGGTGACAGTCAATTTTTTCTTCAGACTCTACCTTCTCCATTCCCTCAACTAGTCAACATATAATATTAGGGCTGAAACAATTATACCGATAACTCGCATATTGATCGTTACGAGTGCAATCGATAGTCGTTAGTGTTCAAAACGAGTGCTAACGATTTTTTATGCATGCATATCAGTGACCGTATTCTAGCCCCTGCACTCCAACCGATAGTGAATATGAGTACAATCATGTACTTTCAAGCGCAGTAAAATTGATTTGTGGCTTTGAAAGAGATTGGGAGAGAAGACTTTGTCTTTTCGGTTCATTTGCGGGAGAGGTCGGAGAAAATCAATTGCCAGGGGGTGATGACAAGATTCTTCACTCTAGAAACAACATGAAATTCTTTAGTTCATGTTGATAAAACCAGCCAGATATCTACAGATGTCAACTGTCAACAGTGCAGTGCCACACATTTCTAACGTAGCAAAGGTATCATCGAATTTCTTCATAAACTGGTGTTCGAGGTACACGGGTAGAGCCGACAAGAATCGATAAAACCAATGTATCGATCGTTTTAACTTTTAATGATATCGGTTGATCGTTAGGAGTTTTTGAATGATCGTTAGGAGTTTTTGAATGATCGTTTTTGCCCTATATAATATTATGTCATGTGCTTTGTTGCGGTTGTATCCATAGCTGTGCTGCGTGTCGCGCACTGGGTTTGTTCTATGTTGTATCCATAGCTGTGCTGCGTGTCGCGCACTGGGTTTGTTCTATGTTGTATCCATAGCTGTGCTGCGTGTCGCGCACTGGGTTTGTTCTATGTTGTATCCATAGCTGTGCTGCGTGTCGCGCACTGGGTTTGTTCTATGTGTAGAGACGTCGACATTTAAGGAGAGGCCCAATTGTGCGAAGGAGAATTCAATTCCCCCAAACTGAACGATTTACAGAGAATGATGAAATCTGCAAATTTGTGGTTTTGAAAAACGATGTGTTCCTTCTGTGTTTTTGTTGTCTGATCCAGGAGAATCCCAAGCCTTTCTATGAGCTGGCCAAAGAACTGTATCCTGGCAAATTCATAGTATGTTCAATAGATTATCTTTGGTGTATATCCTTGCTGGTTGGATTGTCCTCATTGTGCCGTATCTTGATGTAGATAATGCATTGGTTCAAGCCAAGCCGAACAGCATACAATATTACATAGTAGGAGAGCAGCAGCAGCAGCAGAAGATGGGATATCTGCACACTCATCGCGTGTATTTTTCTTTGAGTGTGCTTCCATGCATGCGTATGACATGTGCGTGGGTGTTTGCGTGTGTGTATGTGTGTGTGTGTCTGTCTGTCTGTCTTTCTGTCTTTCTGTCTCTCTGTCTGTGCGTGTGTGTGTCTGTCTGTGCATGTGAGCAACCCCATGTGTATATGTGTCCTGCTTGACACCATGTGGTACTGTGTTGTGTTGTTGCAGCCGACCGTCAGCCACTACTTTATCCGTCTCTTATCGGAGAAGGGCTTGCTGCTCCGGAGCTATACACAGGTGAATGAAGCATGTGCCCCACTACCACTAGCAATGAGCTGAGTTAAAGATATCATTTGAATACCAATATCCATGTGTACATAATAATATAGTACTGTATTGTATTAAGTACTAGTAGATGCATGACTGTGCAGATGTTGGACTAATTCATTGCTGTTATGTATACGGTAGGTGAAAACGCTCCAGAAAGGGTGCCGTGGTGATGTTTGCTTACGAAAAGACGTGCGGCTTGGGTTCCACAGCACTGGTTAGTGTTCCCAGTAATTCGGGTGGATGTCCTCGTTTTCTGAGTCTGAGCCAGAAAGGCAAGCGAATCTTGAGAATATCCTTTAGCAGCTGGTTTGTACGGTTGTACCGCACGAGCTCTGCATTGTGATGTAAGATTAGAACAGGGTGGTCTGACTTAAATAGGGTACTACACGTATAGTATATATATACGCATTCCTTTCTTTCTGAAACGTTCTCAAAGAGAACTTAGTTGCTAGTTGTCTTGAATATTATTAAATTGAAAAAGGCAGATTTTCTGATTTTCTGGAAATGTGCACGTTCGGGCTCTCCGCCTTCTCCGTGAAATAAAAGAGACACGCAACCAACAGCGTAAATTTAAGGATCCGCGTTCCGGCTCTCCGCCTTCTCCGCGGACAAAAGAAAACTAGAGAGAAAAAGAAGCAAAAAAAAGGAGTACATGTATGGCCTGGTTTAGGCACCACTGCCACTGGGAATCAGTTTAGGCACCACTGCCACTGCCACTGCCACTGGGAATCAGTTTAGGCACCACTGCCACTGCCACTGCCACTGCCACTGCCACTGGGAATCAGTTGCAGAGAACAACGAGCCTCGGCAACGGCCAGTGTAGCAGAGACATCCGCCACCTCACTGATGGGGGCCGAGCACTGCGTAAACAAACCATGCTGGAGTGAACCAGAGCAAAGGCAGTGTTCGATCTCTCAAACACGTTCCTCATAGCAGCGCCGTTTCTCCCGTTTGTGACGCTGGTAGCAGGAGGGTACTGAGGTGGAGAGATTTGAAGCCGGGAAAGGGTTAAACACCCGTACATCGAAGACAGTGCGGTCAAAGCACCCACCCCGTACACCGGTCGCTGCTGTGTCCAATCTAGCCTTGGGGTCCGTTATGGCAGATCGATAGCGGAATGATTCCCCAGTTGCTCTTACATCTTTAATCAAGAGTAGTGGCTCATGGCTATTGACGATGTCATGTGAAGACTGTTCAAGGTAGGGAAGCTCCTGGTACCACTGTGTCTAATTAGCTAAGCTATCAGCTGGTGTGGACATAAAGCTAGATTTGAAGGATAGATCATGAACAGGAACTTAGTCTGTTTGCTGGACGTAGCTTCTCCCGGTTAGCTGCAACTCTCATGTCGAGGCGTCTTCACAGCCGTGGATGGAACCTATAGTGCGTTTCAAAAGTCCAGACCTCTGGTTTCAAAAAACCGTTAGGCCAGCATCTATACCACATAAAATCTGTGATCACTTTGTGCATAAAATTTTCGAAATGGGGCGTCTGCTATCCAATCGATTAGAAATTTAGATGAGAAAAATTGCGTGAGCTGCCTGAGCAATATTCCGAAGAAATTTCTCAAAAAGCTCAAACCAAATTTGAATTATTCGAAAAAGTCTAGAGGCCTATACTTTCGAAACGCACTATAAGACTAATTTCCCGCTGCCGCCATTGTAAAACCCCCGTACTTTCACTCTCCGAAGGCTCACAGTTACGGTTTGTAAGTTGTCCATTGACACGGAGGAGAAGAAGACGAAGACAGTGCGGGTATGCACACGGAGGAGAAGAAGACGAAGACAGTGCGGGTATGCACACGGAGGAGAAGAAGACGAAGACAGTGCGGGTATGCACACGGAGGAGAAGAAGACGAAGACAGCGCGGGTATGCACACGGCTTACCATCAATACCTACGGTGTACTATTTATGTGTTAACGTGCTTTAATACGTGTGTTAAAGTGTATCTACTACACATGCATGTGTGTGGGGGTGTGGGTGTGGGTGTGAATGTGCGCGTGTACCTCTCACACAGAACATTGATACGCTGGAGCGCATTGCTGGCGTCCCCGGTGACAAGATCATCGAAGCGCACGGCTCTTTCAGCCAGGCTCATTGCATACAGTGTAATGAGGAGTATAGCCAGGACTGGCTCAAGGGTAAGCATTGCCACGTTAAGTCAGACCTTATTTTGTCACCTACATGTTCATTTGTTTAATGGTTTTGCATGAAAAATGCCCAGATATCAAGCGCGTGCGCCGGTGCCCTTCCGGGGGGAGTCCCCCGGGAAAATTTTCAAAAAATGAAGCGAAATCCTGCATTTTGAGCGAAAAAAGGGGGGTTCCGGGCACCCAGGAACCCATACGGGGCATGCGCCTGGATAGGCCAGGGGTGTAGATATGTGACATACTTTACCAAGAGTAATAACCCCCCTGGCGAAAACTCACATCGCGTGTCTCAGGTACGTTTCGTACTACGTCCAAACGAAGGATAGTGTGCGCGCAATCCGGATATGTGCCATGATCATGCTGGGGAGTTGCATGCACGCAGTCGCTTTCTGTCAGAGAGTGCTTTTTTTATTACTCCCTGCTCGCTAAAAACGGGGTGGAACGTACAGCTGCGACACTGCACCACGTGATGTGAGATTTCGCCGTCGGCAAACCCCATAGAAAGGATATCAGGAGTTGCACACTCTTGATGTTACGTTGCATTCAAATTGTTTGGTATACCAGGTAGTATCAATCTGGTGCAACTGATTTTCTGACTAGTTGATAAGGGATGCGCATAACTGACACCTAGCTACAATGGTCAGTTGTGTCAGGTGGGATCCAACCCCCGTGGCTGAGCATGTGCTTGGATTGGATTGGATTGGTTTATTTAACGTCGAATAACAAACAGGCAGTGTTGCCTTATTACATGAGATCGACTTGCATTGAGTTCTAGTACATTGTCCTCGTGGACAGCACATGCACATATTGCTGTCTGTGTCTACTGACAAACGAACTCATAAAACAAGGCCGCCATCACACTACGCTCTCTGACCCCCGTTTACATCTACGTCTACGGTGAAAAATCCAAAACGGGTGGTCGTGTCATCACACAGGCCTAGTTCTACAAGTCTGACCTGATCAACATAACTTTCAAATATGCTCCCAAGACCTAGAGCTCCGTTGCACTTTGGTGCTCAGTGTTGTGCTTTTTCTTTTTTTTTGAAGTTGTTGTTGTTTCAAATCTTTATTGATGTGTATTCTCACAAAAGTTGTTGTATTTCTCTGCAGAAAAAGTGTTTGCTGACGAGATCCCGACCTGTACAGTGTGTGACGGCTACGTCAAGCCAGGTAAACAGCAGTGCTCTGCCGTGCCCCCCCCCCCCCCCACACACACACACACCATGTACCATGTCTAAGCTATAATAGTAACGACACACTGGATTGTGGAGCCGAAACTAGTCCCAACTTCCAAATGCTTTGGCAAGAAGGTAGCCTTCCGACAGGTTGGCCACACACACACATACACACACGTAGTCTGTTCAACCTGTTCTGCTGAAGCGGGTATACAGCCTACATACCTATTCTTCTATATGGTACATAGGATAGGATTGCATATGTCATGTGCTGTTAACCTGGACTGTCGACGACGTTTAAATTTCTTGAATTTGAAGCACTGAATTTATATAGTATGCTGGTGTGGACATTTCACGATCATTCTGAAGAAAAGCTGGCAACCAGTGCAGATCTTGAAACTGCACATGGCGAAGCTTCAATACAGCAGCCATAGCACTACCCAGGTGCCTAGACCCAGTGTGTGTATTCAATGAGTGCCTTGTGTGGTGTTGACATTGCATCCGACTCTCTTCTGCAGACATTGTGTTCTTTGGCGAAGGGCTGCCCAAGGAGTTTCACACCGGAGTGGTTACGGTAAGGCAAGGAGAAATACGGGCGTACTCCTCCACTGGTCAGTGTGTATTAGCTTAGTATATGCGTGTGACTCAGTCACTTAGTCACTCAGTCACTTAGTCACTCAGTCACCGTCTCAGTCACTCAGTCACCAGCAGCCCCGTTAGCTGCACTGTCTTGTTTTCTCTGCATGCTGCATGCACTGCTAACCAGGACATCAGTGCACATGCACTGCTAACCAGGACATGATGTACTGTAAACCGGGAATTTTCGCTGCTGTAATATTTTCGGTGTTTCCCAAAAATCAACGGTGGGGTAGCGCGAAAATTTCGGTAAACCAGTTTTCCAGATCCAAAAATGCGTGTTGCACACCTTGTGGCGGAGCATTGTTGAATTTTACCCTATTGCTCTTTTTTCCTCACTGCTAGGATTTCCCTGTTTGCGACCTGCTGATCATCATGGGAACATCGCTAGTGGTGCAACCGTTTGCACATCTTGTTGGAAGGTAGGTCGGTGCAATGGAAGCCTCTCAAAGCGCATGGACTGGCTTACTACTTATGACGTCTTTGTTATTATTGTCTAGCATTACTCTATGTACAGTCGACCTACCCTTATAACGATATTTGCGTCAGACCAAGAAATATTGTTATAAGGGTAATATTGTTATAGGGGTAACTGGTTCATTTCATACACATACGTCTTAATGCTTGGATTTTGTTCAATTTTTTACACTCTTCATAGCATAAAAAACTGACATACATGCACATTATGTACACAGCAAGGTGCCTGCTGGTGCCCCTCGTCATGTCCCAGCGACTTATCAAGTGAAGCTTGCCCTACCTGGATAGTGGGCTCTACATCTTCCCTGCTAGATATTGTTATAAAATGGAAAATGTTGATTGATCAGCCCATTTGATATCGTTATAGGGGTAATATCGTTATAGCAATATTGTTATAAGGGTAGGGCATTGTATACAAAAGTCAATGGAGTGATTTGGTTTGGCAGAAAAATATCGTTATAAGGGTAATATCGTTATAGAGGTTATCGTTATAAGGGTAGGTCGACTGTATGTTCATAGAATTACCAAGATTAAAGGCCTTGTGCGTTGTGATCACTTTTGTGTGTGGGTCTTTATCAAGGTATTTGAATCATGTGAGGCATCGGCATGCCGGCAGCAAGAACCGGGGTCCTGGCGATTTTTCAAAATGCCAATATTTGCGAAAAACCGAACCGATGTCGTTTTTTAGTCACCGCGTTCAAAGCGAAAAGACTTCTTGCGCTATCGCTTTGAAAGTGCTTTCCTCTTGGTGGCTTCACTATTATTTTGTCGTCGTCGCAGTTGTAGTTTATCCGCCAAGCACTTGGGACATCCAGGTAGGCGTTTTCAGCCACCATGGAGGCGTTTCCACTCTGGGTAGCATCTGCAAATCATGCGCTCAAAAGAGAGCGAAACAAATAATATCTTGGCGGAGCGATCCCGTCACAAATTCTTGATGGAGCAAGAGCGACTAGAATATTTGGCAGCTGGGTCTCCAGAGATACTCCGCTGCCTGTGATAGTCGCCCGCAAGAAGAATCAGGTGAAAGTGAAGAGGTTTCGCTCAGATGACAAGCCATCAGCGGAGGCAGCGCAGACGATGAGTTTGACAGCTAGGCCTCCGCGGAATATGCCGGCATAATTTCGGGAATTATCGGTGTGATTTTTAAAACGGGAATTATTGGCAATTTTTGTGGAATAATCGGTAAAATTTGAGCAATGCCCCCCTTTTTTCAATTTTTTTTCCATTTATAACACCCTGATTTGTACCAAAACGCTTGTGATCCTGAAGTTGATCGCCCGGTATTTCAAAAAAGAAAGAAAAAAAAGCTTCCAGCCGAGTTTCATGCATAATTCACGCGAACCGTGATTTTTTGCCCGTACAAGTGGCAAAAAACCCGTACGCGGTTCGGTATCTGCAAAAAAAGGGAAGAAAAAAAGCATTATTGTGAGAATTATCGGTGGAATTACGGGAATAATCGGTCGAAAATTTGAGCAATGCTCAAAGGAATTATCGGTAAAAATACGAGCATATTCCGCGGAGGCCTATTGACAGCTCCGTGACACGAAGTGGCGACGCGGACAGGAGCGCTGAGAGTGACGAACGAGATTCAGTACTCCGTGCCGACTATTCGCAGCTGGATAAGTTGGTGAGATACGGAGACAGCCCTGAATGAACTAAACCTTACTTGATACAAGATATTTTGTGAATAAAATTGTTGCAAGTATACATGCACGCTTGCGGTGCGCATGAAATTTGTCACAGTATAATGCATGTATCTACGAGCTGCTGTGCGTAGGAGAGCAAGACATGCTTGGTGGATGTATCTGGCTTGGCCCAGCATGCCTATCTAGTCTTGTACTAAGTTGCAGATTCTTCCCAGCCATGTAAAACGTCAGTTGCTTGGCTTCTTTCTGTCTGACAAGTCTGCATACAACACCAGACCTGCACATGACAGGGATTGAGTTTTCAAGTAACATTGCAGCAAGTGCGGGCAACAATGTTACTATAATATCAACTAGAGTACTCTGTGCTTCCCTTAAGACCGATAAATATGCTAAATTATTCTCAGTCACTCCATTAGAGCTAGCTGTAACTGCGTTCCATTTTGCCTTTTTTGCTGACCACTTTTGTTGACCATCACCCATCATTTCGGGCGTTCTTTTTACCATCTTGGAAGGTGCCCAGAGCTCCAAAATTTGGCCCATAGATCATTCATTTAGTGGACAGTTCAAAGCCATCAAAAACTCATTTTCGCCAAATATCACCTAACCCTGGTTTTTGCTGCCCATGCCTCATGTATACATATGTGCGTGCGTGTGCGTATGTATGTGCGTGTGTGTGTGTGTGTGTGTGTGCGTGTGTGTGTGTGTGTGTGTGTGTGTGTATATGTATGTCTGATGATGTGTATGTGTGTGTGTGTGTGTGTCTCTCTCTCTCTCTCTCTCTCTCTCTCTCTCTCTCTCTCTCTCTCTCTCTCTCTCTCTCTCTCTCTCTCTCTCTCTCTCTCTCTCTCTCTTTATCTATCTATCTATCTACTTTTGTATCTCTCTCTCTCTCTCTCTCTCTCTCTCTTTATTTATTTATTTATTTTCACTGAAGGGTCGGCCATGAGTGCCCTCGCCTGTTGATCAATCGAGAGGAAGCTGGTAAAGTGAGTTTGAATTATGCTACTTCTTGAAGTATGTAGCTATGACATAAGTATGATGTAACTATGACATAATAAACACACCATAGTTGAGGAAGGGTCTTGATCCCCATTGTCTTACCTCTAACTAATGTGCAGTACACTGTGTGTACTGCCTGGGCATTGAACAGTCTAACCATAATGACTGTCTATTGCTTAGTTCAGAATGTCTCAGGAAGTGGCCCAGATCATGGATATCTTGGATATCTTGGCTGATTGGGTCTTTCTTTTTTTGTCCTATCTTCTCTATGGTTTGTCCACTGTTTCAGTCAAGGCTGGGTGGGTTGGAGTTTGGCGAGGAATGCAACTACAGGTGAGTTTTCTTTTGGTAATGTTGCTGCTGCTACTGTTATGCTTTGCCAGATGCACAAGACTCAAGGGCGAACTTCTTTCGCTTGCCCTTCATCCATGGTTGTTTATCTGCCTGACCTTGCATAAAGTAGAACATATTGAAATTACCATGCAACTACAAGTACAGTAAAACCTGGTTTAAGCGACCACCCCACGGTGCCACCCCACGGCGCCACCCCACGGTGCCACCCCACGGCGCAAGCAAAGGCGGTCGTTAAAGCCAGGTGATCTTTAGAACCAGGTCCCACAGTGTCTGTGTAGAACTGTGGGTGCATGGAAAAGCGGTCGTTAAGAGCAGGTGGTGGCTAAACACAGAGGTCGCTTACACCAGGTTTTACTGTACTACCAACACTGGTGCATTCCTGTCGAGTCAGGCT